CTCTCTCTCTCTCTCTCTCTCTCCTCTCTGTGGATGTTTCAAGTAAGACACATATTTTTAAAAAATTCTATTTGTACTGAGAGTTTTGAATATATTATCTCACTCAATTTATGTATTGCATATGGACTCTAGGCAGCAAGCAAGTTGCACTAAACAGGTAAGATTTACACACTTCCGTCTTCTTCTCACTAGTATTTTGCTCCTATAATTGCCAAAATTATTATATCATTTGGCATACATGATTAAAGAGCAGGAATAAAGGCTTCAATGGAAGGCACAGATAGGACAACACAAACCAGAAAGTTAAGGGAGTCTTCTCATCACCTTCATTTATCCTCCGGCATTTAACAAATATTTAGTCAAGTAATGAGTGCTGAATTTTTACAGAAATCTGACAAACCATCTCAATATTTATATTGAAGAATATGATTTGTGAGTAAATAAACAGGAAAAAAGACAAAAGAGCCAAAAGAGCTACTTGTTGTACTAGATTTTATGACCAAGATGAAGAATTTAATAGAAAGCTGTGAAACTCTGACACAGAATAAACAAATATAAGCAAAATAGAAACAGAAAGCAGAGGTCAAACCTACATATCTGAAACAATTAGTCATTGGGTGGCACTGGCTCCGCAAATCATTAGAGGAAGTATAGAATGTTTGAGAGATAAGAAAAATTCCCATACAGGAAAAATTTGATTCCTCCCTCACACTGACAGCAGGCACATTCGTGTTTTCATGTAAATTCCTACGGACACAAGATTATTTAATGGCAACACCCAACTTACAAAATTAACCAAGAAACTGTCACTTAAGGTTCTTGGAAACTTACAGCAGGAAATACTTCCTTGTAAAAAAGACCCATTGAGCTTAACTCATAAAATAAGAAAAAATGTTGGTTCTGACTACGTAAAAAGTCAGACTTTTGGTTATTTAGAGCCTCTTGTTTTTAAAAATGATGAGAGATTGTAAGTGGACAGCTTCAATAGTCAAGAAGTGTAAGGTATCTTCAAAAGCACAAATTAAAAGGTGAGAAACCCGATCTTATCACTAGGAAACAGGTATTCATAGAATGGAAAACGCAAAATTACCCCTTTATAAAGGAGTGCTTTCTCACTTGAGCCAGCAGAAAATTCGAACTGTGACGCTCCCTGACATGCAAGACTGGCAAAAATCTGCAAGCTGGAACATGCCACATGTGGGCAGAAAATGGGGGGAGGGTTGTGTGGCCCCGCCTCCACCTGGACCACGTGCTTGAGCACCCCCCTATCTGGGGCCTGGCACCGCCCCTCCGCACACGTCTGCGTCTGCCGCAGCTGCGCTTCCGGCCCCTCCACACACCGGGAGAGACCACTTCGCCATCTGCACGGTGAGGGAAGGGCACCCCGACTTCGCAGTCCAGCAGGTCGCTCCGGGCCCATGGAGAACGTGCGCGGACGGGCACGTGCGAGGGCGCGAGGCGTCGCCCGCAGCCCGGATGCCGCGGGAGTGGGGCGCATGCAGGCCTCGCTGCAGGTAGGTGGAGAGCTCCCTGGTCCTGTTTCGTTCCCTCCTGCCGCTGGGCTCGGCCTGAGGTGTTCTCACTTCTCCCCTCTGCTGTCTTAGTTGAGAAAGAGAATACAGCGAACTAGCCAGTGAAGACAGAAAGGTGGGGAGCCCTATGTGTTATTTCCTCCTACTTTCTTGATTTGGCTTTTAATTGTCTAGGACAGTTGGTTGTGCCTTCATTGCTTGTCTAACAACCACTGGGACTTGTTTAATTCTGTGTGTCAGGAGCCACCATTACTGGTAGGGCTTCTTGCTGGATTTAGGCTGCTGGGTGAAATCGACCCAAACAAGCCATTGTTTGAGTGATGTTACAGATATGTACTCTGAGAATTTGGAGCAAGCCCTTAGGCCAGAAATCCCTCAAATAAATAGTAGCAGGCAGTTAGTGTGCCTTTATCCACTTGAAGCTGTCTTGATTTGCTTCATTGCTTGGCAGGCAAACATAGTTAAATTCTTGGACAAAGAAAAGTAGTTACTGTGGAAGGAGTGAACACTTAATTCGTTGTTCCCTCCAGCGATTATGTGACCAGTCCTGGTCCAGAACATCCAAGAAGTGTCACCCTCTGAGCTGGCAGCTTGGTTTATTTCCATGGCCATAAAAGCGTCTTTGCTGTGTCTCCTTTGTTGGCTCCTGGGCACAGGGACCATATCGCTGCCTTTTTGTACTTCCAAGTTTAATGCCACATCTGAGCGTCACTACTGAAGTCCAAGTGAGATGAGTGAGGAAAACCCTTGCCTGTTCTTATATTTTATCCTGGAAGCAGTGCTTTGTTATTGCCCAAGGGTTTTGCCCATCAGCGCTTCCTTTTCCTAGCTCATAACTATCTAAAGTCAAGATACAGTTGTTACCTGCTGAGAACTTTTTGATGTGTGACTTACTATCTTGAACATTTTTGTTTACTTTAGCCTCCAGCTGTTGATCTTAGTGAGAATGAAGCACCCTCCAGCGACAGCCCTGTGGGAACAAGCCAGGTTTCACAGCACTGTAAGTGTAGCTCTGGCTGTTTCATTTAGTGCCGGATCAGTTGAATGGAATGGGAGTGATACTCTGGGACCCTGCAGGAGCCGGCTCACTGCCTTGGCATCTGTATTTGCTTTCCTGTAGGATCCTTCTTTACTGTGTTCCTCTGGGACTAAGACCGGTCAGCCGCTTGGTGGATGGGAATCCACAGTCATCAGGAAGCCAGGTTTCTGATTGTTTCCATCCCTTGGGAAAAATTTAAAATATTTCAGAGATCTTCATTGCATACACATGCAGTGCTGTTTCCTTGCAGGGATGGGAGCAAACGGACAGTATGCTCTCGTGTTCTCATGGCCTTTCCCCCCCTGGAGTAGATATCATCACCATTTGCTGGTAGCTGTCTTCCCTGCCCAGCCAGAGCTACTTGTCCGCACTGTTCCCAGTAACCGCTGGTGTGCCGTTCCAGTTGGCACTTCCAATCCATGTACATTTGTCTCTCATTGCTCGTTGAGCTGCATGGCTCCAGGACTCCCAAGGGATGCTCACATCTGGAAATGTTCACGTCCCTTGCATCGTATGGTGGAGCATGTGTGTGTGAATCAGGCGGCAAATCATCTCTGGAATACATACCTGACCTAATACTGAGTAAATGGTGTGTAAATAGTTGTATGTACTGTGTTTAGGGATGATAACAAAAACGAAAAAGCATTTCCAGGTTTAGCAAGGGCACAGTTTTTTTCCTCCCAAGTATTTACCATTCAGGGCTGCAGTTGGTTGAGTCTCTAAATGTGGAACCCTTGGGATCCTGAGAGCTGACTGCCTTAGTTTGTTCAAGTTGCCATAGCACTATAACAGACACAGAGGAGCTGGCTCATCTGAGTTCTGAGGGCTCGCAGTCTGAGATGAACATGACAGCAGGGTTGGTTTCTCCTAGGGCTACTCCTGGGTGTAGTTGACTGTCTTCTTGCGTTAACCTGATCTGTCTTCAGTGTGTTTCTGAGTCCTCATTTGTTAACTTGTGACGTCAGTCATGTTGGACCACCTTCGTGAGGCCACTTTAACTTAGTCACCTCTTGAAGGGCCCTGCCTCTGGGTATAGCCACACTCTGAAATATTGGATGTTAATAAAATTTTAACAGAATTCTCGAGGGGCCCAGGGCTGCTCCTGACCCAGGATGAAACCTGTTAGCAGTATTTTGTCCTGACCATGAGATGAATGGATTGGTTTTTGATGAATGTGTAGGGATAAACACTTAGATTCTGCCACATGTTCCTTGTGTTGGCTTTCCAGCCCTGTCCACGTAGCCCCTGTAGTTTGAAGTCATGCACATGTGTTTGCTGTGTGTCAGCACAGGAGCTCAGTTCTAAGAAGCAATGGAGTCCAGGCCAGCTCTGTCACCATCATTCAAGCATTATTCCAGTTTAAGGAATGTCTTTCCAGCTCTGCTGCACAGTCTTGCGAGTAGCAAGTAATGAAAATCCCCACCCTTTAGGAAAGATTGAATGTTTACTTAATTAGATTGTGGTAAAATATAGACATAAATATGTGATTTGACAATTTTAAAGGTATAGCCTGTGTATATTAATATTGTTGGACAGCTGTCATCCCCATCCATCTCTACATTTTTTTTATTAACTTGTGAATAACCCTGTATTAATGAAAAAAAATACTTCTTCCCATCAAGTCACTGGAAGCCACTGTTCTATGGTAGCTTGAATTTTTAGAAATTGCTCAATGTTTTTTGAAACCAAGGATGATGGTTTTTTTCAAGGTAAGATTAGAGAATGATATGGACAGTAAAGTGAAAGTAACAGAATGTTTTGAACAAACAAACAAACAAACAAAAACTTTTATGAGTTTTTCTGGAAGATCCAGATTCTAGTATCAGGTGCCTAGATAACAGTTTTGAGAGGTGGCAGTGCCATTTGGGGCAGTTTCATATTGTGACTGATTAAAGCTCAGTGGAAAAATCAGAGTGCAAGAGCCATCAAACTATTAGTCATTTTACTTTGCAGTCGTAGTCCTTATTTTTATATCTTAAAGTTATTTTCAAGGTGTCAAAGTTGTATCCCAAGAAGCCAGCGTTTTCTGTTTGTTTTTAAACAGAAAATACTAATTTGGAAACGAATTTCAATGTACGTGTTTTCTGTGAACTAGCAGTAAATAATAAGCTCCACAGTGAGATACCAGCTTTTGTTCTTGTGGGAAATGATCTGGCATCCAAACTCATGGCTGTGTCAGGGGCAGCTTCCCTTTTCACTGGGGAAGGCGAGAGACTCGGCCCCCTCTGTGCAGAGGCTGATGTGCACAGTCCTCGTCTAACTCTTCTGGTGTCACCCTAGAGCTAAAGGAGCAAGAGCTGCCCCAGTCACACGCGTGGAGCTAAGATAGGACTTCCTCCTCATGCTGGGAAGAGCTCGGTCTCCCTCCAGGTCTGTTAACTTCCAGCCAGACATTCTGTGTTTTCCTCACAGTTTTCTGTTTCTAGATTGAAGACTTCAGTGCAGTCGTGGGTATTTTCAGCAGCGTGGGTATATTTGATTAAACACCACGAGAACCCCGTTCTTGGCTGTAGACGGGGGGAGTTTGGGGGACACCAGTTATAAACAGCATCACTGGAATGAAGTCTGAGGCATCATTGGGTTCTCCTCACACTTTGACAGACACCGGAGCTACACCTTCTGGGGATGTGGAAAGAAGCGTGAGGATCAGACGGGACTTCGTGGATTTGGAAATCTGTACCAGAGAAAAACTGGCACATGTGCGAGAGTGTAAAACAGGTACCAACTTCAGGTTCCTCGTTTTTTCATGATGTGACCAGACTTGTTTCAGAGATTTCGTGTTTTGGGTCTCATGCTTAGCAGCTGTGTACAGAACGTCTGTGTTCAGCACACTGTGCAGATACTGGTCTTGTTATCTCTGATTCTCTCTTTTTATTACTAGAAGTAATACATATTCCCCTGAACTGCAACTTAGTTGTGGAAGAGATTTTTAAAAATTGTTTTGGATGATGTTCACGTAGTTGATTAGAATGGGAAAAGTCAAGGGCTAGGGGCAACTGGGGGTGATCATTGTTTGTACACATTCTTTTTCTTTTTCCTGTATCTGGGGTAAAGGGAGAGATAAGGGAAGAAGCTGCACCCCGCCTCCCAACCACTTCAGTACTGGGGCTTGGAGACTGGCCACCTGATGTCATCCCAGGATCCCTGATGTGGAGCATGCTACAAGATTCTGCTCAAGCGGTTTCGATAGTTCTGAAATGCTTGTCCATCTCACCCATCCAAGGATGAGAAAATCCTTCCAAGATCCATTGGCTGACCTGTACAGCTTAGAATCTCCATTCACTGAGAAATTTACTGTTAAACTTTACTGGAGTGGTTGACCAATTTGTTCTGTCCTCCTCCTTCTGCTATGATACCAGATGTCCTGTGCAGGCCCCAATGGATGGCTGTATTCTTTTTGTGCATCTGGGTATGCTGTCCACTGCTCCATCTTAGCCACTGAGGAAGCCCAGTTCTGACATGAGCACTCCATGGTTAGACCACAGATCCTAAAATTCTCCCCATGGTTGGAGTTCTGAGTCCATAGCTTTAGTTGGAATGATCCCCTAAGAAACCTCTTCTGAGATGTTCCCAGACCTGACTCTTGTGTGTGCTTGCCATCCTGTCCACCGCAACTCAGCCATCACATACATCAGCAGGAGCTACAGCCCAGCAGAGCAACCCATATTACCCCCTGCCAGGCTGTCAGGTGACAGCACCTTTCTAGCCAGGCCCGCCCCCAGCCCTGGTTCTCATGCTCATCAGTGGGAGTTGTAACCCATCAGAGAGGTGCCCACAGTTTCCCTAGTGGGCCCACTCCCTATACTGGAGCTTGCACAACCCAGGTGGCTCTGCAGTCTAGCTTGACAGGCCTTGCATGCTGAGGCAAAGCCCAACCAGTCTACACTTATTCTGGCTCATGCATGCATCAGTGGATACAGTTGGTCAACCCAGCCTGGCTTTCCCCCTAACCCAGCTCACATGCAAGCCAGCAGATTACATTGTAGCCCTGCACAGCCTGGTCTACCCCCAGTTCCAGTTCTCACACTCACCAGTAGGTGTGGTGCCCCTGGAGGAGAGCCCCCTGCAGTTCCCCTACTGGGTTTGCACTTCCCCACACCAGGTCTCACATGTGCTGGTGGGTGCTGAAGCAAGTTTGGCATAGCCTCTTTCAACTCGGCATTTGCTGGCAAGTGCTGTAGTCTGGCTCGGTCCAGTCTGCACCCTATTCCTCCTCATGCTGGTGGGTGCAGTTGCCCAACCAGAGTCAGCCAGCCCCCACTTCAGCCTTTATGTGAAATGGCTGGTGTTGTGGCCTGACTAGTCCTGTGCTGCACCCTGTCCTGATTCTCAGATCTGCCAGTGGGTGTTATGAATTGGTCCAGCCTGGTCTGCGTCCAGACCTAATTCAAATGTGTGCTAACAGGTACCATAACCTGGTCTGGTCTGGACTATTCTTTGCCTTGGTTCTTGCACTCACCTGTAGGGGCTGTGACCCAACAAAGCAATTCCCCAAGCTCTACTGTCAGGTCTCCTCCCAGTGGCAGATCTCCTGTACACCAATGGGTCCTTAATCCACCTCATGTCCTGGCAGGAACAGTGGCTTTAGCCAACCAGCCCACATTCCCGTTCTTACTGTTGCGTACTACAGCCCAACCATACCTGGTCCATGCCCAGACACAGCTCTCACATGACTTAGTGGAGCCTAAGGCCTAGCCCAGCCCATTTTACACCCTACCTGGCTCTCATAATCACCAGCGGGTGCTGGAGTCTGTCGCAGTCCAGCAAACCCCAGTTCCAGTCTACACCCATGCTGAGGGACACTGCAGCCTCATCCAGCCTGGATTGCTCTTATTGCTCTCATGCACATCGTTAGGAACCACAACCTAGCCATGACATCCTCTTAGCTCCCTATCCAGGCCTGTTCCCAGCCACAGGTCTTATGCATGCCAGTAGTTCCTCTGTCCCAGCTTGGCATAACCTATCCCTCGTCTTGGCTTTTGCCATCAGATGCTGACGCCTGTACTGACCTTCCATTAGTCCCAACTCTTGCTATCAGGTGCTGTAGCACAACCCTGCCCAGTCTGCTCCCATCTCTAGCTCATTCTAATTGGTAGCCTAGCCCAACATGACCTACACTCCAGCCTGGACCCTGCACATGCCAGTGGGTTAAACTTGCCCCATTCTTGCCTGGTCAGCTCCATTCCAGAACCAACCCACACACTTAATGACTGGTAGAACTACCTTGCCTGGCCTGCCCAACACTCTGGCCTGAATCACACGCTTAGCAGCAGGAGCTACAGCACAGCAGGGGAGTTTTCCAAGCTCCCCCACCAGGCCCACTCCCAGTCCCAGATCTCACATGTGCCAGTAGGTGCTAAGCCTTTACTTGGCATAGTCTGTCCCCTACCATGACTTTGTATGAGCTGATGAATGTTGTAGCCCGGCCTGCCCCACACCCCATTCTTGGGTGCACCTACAGGTGCTGAAGCCTGGACCAACCAGGCCTGTTCCTAACCCCAGCACCCATGAGTGTCAGATAGTTCCATGGTCATGCCTTGCTCAGCATGTTACCACCCCCAACTCATAAACAAACCAGGAAAAAGTGCAGTTCCATAGATATGGGTCCACATATCCCCCTCAGAATCTGCCCCCATCCTGGTTCCCTTGTGTGCTGGTTGGTGTCATGTCCCAGCCTAACATTACCAGTCCCCTGTTCTGACTGTCATTGGCAGGTACTGTGATTAAGCCCTGTCAGGTAGATCCCCAGCCCTAGCTATAGTGTGTGTCCATGAGTGGTAGTCAGCAGTGATCCATGCTAGCTAGCCCAGCTCAAGTCTCCCACGTGGGCTGGTGCATCAGTCTGATCCATAAATGTCTTCTAGGTTCCCCCCTCTAAATTGTTGGGTTTCAGCTCCCTCACTTACTTACAGGTATAGTGGCCTTGTCAATGGAGTCCCTCAAAAGTCACTCCCTACCTGCAATATACTCCCTCAGTGGTCTTTGTTCCCACACATCCTCTTACCCATTTCCCTGACCAATCCACAGTCTCTGCACTCAGGAGTGGATGAGTTCCTCAGCTCAGCCTTCCTAAGCCCAGTCTTCTGGTAGTGTGGTGTGCTAGCCTGGAACTCTGCCCTTCCACTAGCGTCCCAAGCTCCTGACACATGTGCTGACCTGGGACCTTACCCCTCTGCTCTCCCAGAATCCAAGCCTGTTCAAAGTTACCCAAGCCCAGTCCACCAGCACACTAGACCAGCATGCTAACCTAGGGCTTTCCCTTCTCCTTCTCCTACCCAGCCTGGGACTAAGCACATGGGGGAAATCCCCAGGCTGGTTCTGCCTGCCTGGACATGAATCCCTAGGTTCCCGCATACCCCTACCCACGTCATACTCCAGGCTCCCTGCAGGCCCACCAGCACAAAGGCACCTGCCTTGGTGCTGCTGCAAAGCGCCAGAAAAGATTTTCTTTATACACCTTGTTGAAGAGGCTAAATGATGGTGCTTGGCTTTCCGAACTTTTGTCCTTTATCAAGAACAGCAACGTTTTTGGACTTTCAGCTGTACAAAGAAAGATGTGGCCTATTGTGGGGACCCGTATTTTCTGAGAAGCAGGTGTAGTTTCCACTGGATTCCCAAGATGCCATGTGGCTCCCTCCCCAAGATTAAGATTCACTGAATTATAGTGGTCTTTCTTTTTCTCCCTCCTTCCTTTCCTTGCAAGAGAAGGAGAGATGAAAGAGAGATCTTCCATTTGCCACTCCACTCCCCACATGGCTGCAATAGTTGGGTCTGGACCAGGCCAAAGCCTGTTACTCCATCTGGATATCCCATGGGGGTGACAGGGTACCAAGCACTAGGCCATCTTCTGTTTTCTCAGGCTCATGAATAGGGAGCTGGATCAGTTGTCTGGAAGGCATGACTCAGATTGGCACTCCTATTGGATGCTGGTGTTGTGGATGGCAGCTCAACCTCTACACTCCAACACCAGCCCCACGTCATTGCTTTTAACTTTTTCTTTTGAAATGACAGTAAAGTTAAAAATAGGTATTTGGGGGCAGGGAAGTGGGGTTTCAAGAAGTTCCTGGAACAATGCTTTGTGCTAGTCTTAGCCAGCCAGCCACACTTTCTGTTTTGTTCCTGATCCTTTCATTAAATGTGCTGTTCATCTCACTTGCTTTCCCTTGCCACACCAAGGGGCCTGTTGCTGCACAGGTGACCTCAGAGGGCCTTGCCAGCTCTGTCTTCAATCCTCTGTCCATTTAGATGAACAGCTAGAATATGTTGCCATTTCCTCAGCATTTGGGAGAACAAAGAAAGCCTTTCTTTAAATAGCACTGGGTGGAGCTGACAAGGTGAATGCTTACATATAGGTTTTCTTCCCCTCTGCCTTAGGGACACATGTCCCCATGTCATCTGTAATGCAAGTGAAATAAAATCTATTCCATATTCTTTTCTGTAAGCCAAAACCTGGATGATTCTATGTAAGGAGGGCTGGAAACACCCACCTGTCTTCCTTCCTTCTCCCCCCATACTTTGTGCTTCTGTCCTGGGGAAGCTTATGTTATCCTGGGCTCTGACATACTATGTCCTGGCTCTCTCTGATTTTTTCCTGAAGACTTTGAAGATATGAATAAGTTTCTGTGGAAAAGAGGAACTCCTGGAAGCACCTGTGGCTTCCATGTGCTGTTACAAACTAGAAGCCCGGAAACCTATTTTCACACAGGAAAAATACCCTTCCTGTCTCTCCCTGCAGCCCTCCCCTCCATGTTTGTGGTCCAGTCGCTGCCTAGTCATTTTCAGATTTTTCACAACATGGTTAATTCTTGATTATCTGGATCTTCAAGAGCTTGGGGCTGCATTCACCTAATAACTGGACAGTTCCTTGATAAACTGAGAGCAGTGTAGTTTCAGAGCAGTAACTGCAAACATTGCTTGAGTGGATTTGAACTGCAGAGGATGGAAGCTAAAAGGCAGGCTTGGAAGGGGAGTTAAGTTCAGATGCTCCCCTTCTCCCAATGGCAAAAATGATGCTATTTGGGTTTTTTTCTCCTGTGAGGACAGCTTTAAACATGGATCCATTTCAACTCCCATCAGTGTTATCTAACCGCCTGTTTCAGGGTTAATCTGAAACAAAACTCTTTGTTTTATACACAACGGTGCATATGCAGATAGAGTTGAAGTGATGTGGCTAATACTGACACATTCTGATTTTTTTCCTAAAAAAATATACTTTTTTATGTGTCTTCTTCAGGTTCCAGTGGAATTCCTGTGAAACTGGTTACAAATCTCTTTGGTTTAGATTTGCCCCAGGACTGGCAGCTATACCAGTACCATGTGACATACACTCCAGAGTTAGCGTCTAGAAGGCTGAGAATTGCTCTGCTTTATGGTCATCGTGAGCTTTCCAGGAAAGCGAAAGCATTTGATGGCACTATTCTTTTTCTCTCACAAAGGCTACAAGAAAAGGTACAGTGTGGCTGACTTTCTGTTTATATATGTGTTGTGCAAATATATGTGCATACCCACATTTACATAAAAATTTAGAACATTATTTTTCTGATAAGCGGAAGATGTACTTCACTTGGAATTCCTCTTTCTTGTTCCCTGCTTAGGAGCTAAAAGGCATCCTAATGTAGGCTTCACCTGTAATTGACTTCTTAATTAAGAACCGAAGAGTCTGACATTTAAAAATAAGAGCTGAAGTGATCTTTACACAAGCATCTTTTTAAAACTTCTCCCCCAATAGGCAAGACTTAAGAAAACACCATGTAGTCTGTGGCTTCAGAACTTTAACTTTCTGCTTCATTTGCTTCTGCATTGAATGTTGCAGTGCATCCCAATGATGACACACTCATCTTTGGTTCTGAAACTGTCATTAGTTTCATGACATCATATGAAATCGGAGTTACTGAGATCTGTTTTAAGGGCATTTTTAAAATCTAATAATTGGAAATGCAAATTGAATGTCTTATACGTCTTTAACGATAGTTTTTATACTTTACTATTTTCAGTCTTAAAATGAAGGTTCTGGTTTTGATGCTTTTGTCATATGCTTCATTCTAAAACAGCATAAAAATTATTACATGAAAAACAGGTTAAAAATTTGAATTAGATCATTGGATTAAAACGTTTGGCCTCCCCCACAGAAAGTTAAGTTCTTACTCCAGCCTTTCAAACTGTGTGACACCAGTAGCATAGATTCAAACTTCTAGACTACACGTAACTCAGTTTTCTTAAGAAATGCATTTCTGAGCTCTCAGGGCTTTTATTCTTTTATGATCCTTGAGGTTTATAAAAGCTGCTTAAGTGATTATTTTATCTGGATAAGGAACTTTAAAATTATACCATGTGGTGCAGTGGAATGGCTTAGAAAATCTGCATCTGTGTTCCTTCAGCACTTCGGGAAGCAGGTTTTGATTGCATGCCAGTGTGGCATCCTCACTCTTAAATGATGTGTCTTGGGGGTACAGTTAGCATCAAAGATCATCTTGTTTGTGTAGATCCATCTGTACTGATAGCTTAGAAGCTTGGATGTGCTAGAAATTATTTTACGTCATCCTTGAATGGTTCAGGTTACTTCAGTTGTGCTTAACCGAATGAGAAATTTTACTCTACAGATGGTAGAACAAGCTAATACTATTCATTCCTCTTTCAAAATGAGCATGTAATATGTGTCAAACACCTTTTTGTTGCTGAGAACAGAATCTTACAAGGAGACTAGTGAGAATATACTCTGTAGAAACCATTGTGGGGTAAATCAGGTCAGCTGATTTCATGCTAGGCTTAAACAGAGGAGTATTGTTTTGTTCCTTATCAACAGGTGACCTGCCATCCAGTTACAGTGAGAAACAGAGTGGCCTGCTGTTCTCACCTTTTGATATGGTTCTCAACAGATACCAAGGCTCAAGCCTCACCTTGTCAGTCCCACAGCACTTATTCTGATTGAAAGAGCTCCTCCACTAATTCATCCATTGCACTCCCCCCCAATAGTTTGCTTCTAGAAGTTCTATTCAGCTACTTCTCCGCCTTCCACTAATCTCCAGACCCCCATCTGTGCACCTGCAGCTGCTAGCCCTGTTCACGTCTGTTTACACTGTCACGCTATAAAGAACCCTGTGCATACTCAGTGGGGTGTTGCCATCATGGAGGAAATGTGGAGAAATGAAAGAGGTTCTCTTCTGAAAAAAGTTTTCAATTTTGTACCAAATTTTTTTACAAATATGCACAGTTTAAGTTAGAATGAGTAAACGTCTTAGTAACTAGTAGTGTTTTCATTATGCCAGAAAATACTGAGCACTCTCTGGGTGTTAAGTACAGTGCTTGGGTTATTTTCTCTGGTTAGCTCCAGCACCTGCCCTTCAGATTAGCAGCTCTTGATTACCATCATCAATCTCTTATTGTTGGAATCTTTTTTGCAAAAAAGATTATTTATTTTAATTTGAAAGTTAGATTGTATATAGAGAAAGAGAGCTAGAAAGAAGTTTTCCATCCTCTGGTTCACCACCCAGATGGCTGTATTGGCCAGGGTTGGGCTGATCCAAAGCTGGGAGCCAGGAGTTTCTTCTGGGTCTCTTATTTGGGGGCAGGGGCCCAAGGACTTGAGGCATCCTCTGCTGCTTTTCCAGGTCGCAGACAGGGAGCTGGATGGGAAGTGGAGCAGCTGGAACACAGACCAGCACCCAGTGGGATGCTGATGCTGTAGGCAGAGGATTAGCCTGAAAGCTGTCACACCAGCCCCTCTGATACGCTCCTTATAGCATGACTTCACTGAATCCTCCCACCGCCCATGGAAATTTTGAGAGGTTAAATACCCTGCTCCAAGTCATCGTGCAGATCTTGATAAAAGACAATTAAGATAGCAAGACACTCTCTGAGAGACTGATAATTAGTTTTTTGAGTGGAATTTTGATCAGTGAAATGGACGATGGAGGATTGGGAGTTTCTAAGCAGAAGGAGGAAACATAAGTGATTGGAAACATGGGATATATTTTGGAAAATTTAGTTATTCAGATTCATCCAGGAAGATATGAAAATTGTGGCCCCAATGATAGGCAGAACATTAAATGTCCTGCTGAAGATCAGAGCTTGTCCTCTGTAGACCACTCTAGACTTACAAGTGAGTTTGCGCAGAGCCGTGTTGAATTACAGTGACTTTGATCATGTCTTGCTAAGTGGTTTGCCCAAAGATGTAGGAAAATGAATATAATGCCACATGAGTAACCTGGTAGGATGTCAGATGGCCTTGAACAGAGACACAGAAGTGCTGCTGTTCCTTAAACTTTCCTTAGAGCATGTACTGTAAATGAGGATATAATTAATGCATTATCTCATTTAATCTTCACAACTCTTGACTTAAACTGGGCTTAGTTCCACTGTCGAGACAGCAGAAGATCTTAATACTTGGTTCCTAGCTTGGACTCAGGGAAGACACAGAGGGCCAGTCTGCTCAGTTCCACATCGTGTGCTCTTAAGCCCCGTGGTAACTAATACTGGAACAATTAAAACAGAGTAGAGACACTGCATGGAGTGGCAGGACCAACACTTGCCAGCACATTAGATGATGCAGTGAAGGGTAGGAGTGAAAGCTGACTGTGGCTTAGGAGCCTGGGTCCTGGAAGGGGAAGAGGTTGTCCAAGAGCAGATGGTGGGAAACATCTGAGGAGCTGGTGTTGGTGGGACCATGTGGGGCCAGCTGAGTGACTGTTGGAAATGCACTTCCTGAGCCCATCCACTGTCACCCGTCTGAGTTCAATTCAGTGTGCTGAATCTGTAGCAGTTTGAGAGCTGTGCACCCCTCCTGCCTGCCAGGCTTGCTCCATGTTGATGGGCCCTAACCTGGCCACTGCCTCTGGCTTGTATACAGTTTTATCTGCAGCAAGAAGCGATTTTAGAGAATGTTTCCATGTCCTGTGAAAGGCCCACTTTCTCAGACTTTCCATGTAACATCTGAGGTATATAAATACTTGCCAGTGAGTTGGCCTTTAAAATTCATTACCCTTTTGGAAGACCCTGGATCACTGATTGGTCCTTATTGACTGATTTTGTATATGCTTTAATTTCAGAAACCTGTCCTGAATCCTGTCTGGTCCAAGAAGCTTTTGAATATAGGGGAGCTGTAGTGGAAACATTGCAGCTAGACCATCGTGATGAGTGCTAGATTCCTGCAGATTTCTCTCGAGCCCGCAAACATGTTTCTTGTCTGTCACTTCCACCACGTCCTACCTTCTTCCCTTGTCTTTCTTTGCCCTTGTATCTGTCTTTCCTTTTCTGTTCTCCATTTTTGTGCTTTTGGAATAAACTTTTTAGAGACTTTGTTCTGGGATATGTACTTGAGTAGGGCAGAATACTTCACTAGCCAGCTTCAGGAACACTATGAACCTTCTGAAAATTGCTGCACTGCACTGGGCTGTGACCCACATATGTGAAGTTTTCTTGCGAGACTATCTTTAATTTCTGTTAACCTTTCAAGGTAATTTGTGAACCATCTTCCTCCTATTTCTTGCTCAGGTCAAAAAAACTAAAAAAACACAAATGTTAGGAACCACTGCCCTGAATTTCTTTTGGGGTCAGATTTTTGAGCCACGAGTTAGATCTGTTTCTCACTTAAGAATTTAAAGAGGTATGTTGCCCTTTTAGGATTAGCAAGCTGCAGGGGTTGGGGGCAGGGGAACAGCACTCAAAACCTGTGGTGATTCGATCATTATTCATATACTAACAGCTGCAATTTTATTTGTGTTAATGCACAATAAATATGATGACTTTAGAACAGTTAAAATTTTGCATACTCAGGGCTAAGTCGGACAGTATGTATATCCAGTGCTTATTTTCCCAGGTCACAGAATTAACAAGTGAAACTCAAAGAGGCGAGACTGTAAAGATGACTATCACTCTGACCAGGAAGCTGCCGCCAAGCTCCCCTGTGAGCATTCAGGTCTTCAATATCATCTTCAAAAAGTAAGATGCCTTGAATGCAAATGTGATGTGGGCTAACGATGCACAAAACCAGGGTGTAAACACAGTCAGACCTCTTGTAGGTTGCGTGTCAGCAGATGTGCTGCTTGGGGGACAGTTTTTCATGTGCTCTCTTGTGATAATGTGCAACACGATTTTTCAGACTCTTACTGGCACAAACCATTGTCAGCCAGGATTACCAAGTTCAGAGCAGAAAGCCAAGGTCATTGACAGAATCACTGGCTGTGTGCAGCGTGCTCCTTTTCTATTTCTCCTTTTCCTTCCCCTCTCAGCCCCTACTGAGAGTTTACAGTGTGTGACTTAGTAAAGAGAAGGCTTTGTTTATCTCCCAGCTGATTCTGGGTCTAAAGGTTGTCACTGACTGCCTTCTTGCCTGGCTGCAGCCCTCAGGTCCCCTTCTGACCTTGTGAATGCATGTGGGGCTGAAGCAAGGTGACAGCAAAGGCTTTCCGACTTCTTCAGACCCCACCCAAGGGCCCCATTTTCAGAGTCGCCTGTGGGTGGAATGGAACATGGTCACATGCAGATTCCCTGGCTCCTTTTCAAGCCCGGCAAACAGTTGCTTGGGTGGGTCTGAAAATTCACTGCTTTGGACAGCATCTCAGGTAATGCATGGGCACACCAAAGCTTGAGAATCAGCTTTGCATGCTATGCTCTGGTCATAACAATGCTTTGCTCTGAAGCCTTAGATGCCAGGGCTGGTGTTTAGGCATAGCATTTAAAGCTGCTGCCTTCATTCCATATGGGCACCATTATCAACTACTCCCTGTCCAGCTCCATGTTAATGAGCCTGAGAAAAGTAGCAGAAGATGACCCTAATGTTTCGGCCCTTGCCATACCACATGGGAGACCTGGCTTAAACTCTTGGCTTCTGGCTTCAGCCTGGCCCAGTCCTGGCTGTTAGCAGTCATCTGGGGAGTGAATCAGGCCATGCAAGATGGATCTTGATCTCTTTCTTACTCTCCCTGTCTCTCCTTACTCTCATTCTTACTCTGATTCTCACTCTGACTTTGAAAATATATAAATAAATCTTTTCAAATTGAAATGCTCTGCTGCTTGCCCTACACTCAGCAGTAGTCTCTAGAGGCCTCAGTGGTGGGGGATGTAGAGGAACTTCCTTTCAGCAGATACACTGGTTTCTAACTAGAGTCAGCAGTCTCATCCGGTATTGCATCGCTTAATGCCCCAGTGTGGCTCAGGCTGTTTGCAAGGTGCTTCTGTGGCTGAGCTCATTCCTTTGGGTTTTGACTGACTTGCGTGCGTCTCACAGGAGCACCGTAAGGCAGTTACATTAACATCCCCACTTCACAGATGAGGGGCCTGGGGCTCAGTGACAGTGGGGGCCAGAATCAGAATTGAATCCCATTTACTGACTGGAAAATGCTCTGTATTATCCTCATGCCAGCGATGTCAGATTTCAAAAGTGATCAGGCTGTGTTCCTGAAGAGGCTTTTGTGGTTATTTGGCAGAACCTGGGACCTTAGCAGTGTCATTAGAAGCAGCCACCTTAGCTCAGCATAGAGAAGAGACAGGAGACTTCAGACACGGCTTTCTTCACCCCACGGTGAGCCTCACCGTGCACAAGTGGTAGTTCTTAACCATATGTTCATATCTATACTTAGCATCTAAGCCTCCCAGTGCTAAACAAAGGAGAATTCTGTACTTTCATTTTTGTTATTATGTTCCACATAGGTAAAAGCTTAGAGTTATTTTCTTACTAATATTTACCAACAGTTCAAAAAATATATTTGCAGGATCTTAAAAAAGTTGTCTATGTACCAAATTGGACGGAACTTCTATAAGCCTTCTGAGCCACTGGAAATTCCCCAGCACAAGTATGTTCATTTATATTTCTGTGTCTGAAAGTGTCACAACGTGAGAAATATAATTTATGATGTAATGTTACACCTCCTGTGAGAGACTCTGAGATATGAAATGTAATGCAATTTTAGAACTTGGAGTTTTAAAAAGTAGAATGGTAAGTGTGAATGTGGATTTAGATGCCTGTGATTTTATATAATTGTAGTGCCAGAAGGAATTGAGAAGCTGACTTTTCTGTGTATAACAGGTAGTACTGAAAGCAGGATGCGCTAGAGTTTTGCATTCTTGGGGAAAGCAAGTTAACCCAAACAATGTGGTTGATGAGTCAGCAGAGGTCAGAATCACGGAACAAACTACCCAAGTGAAAGACCTAACCATTCTGAACACTTGTACGGTTTTCACCTAAGCTGTGGGAAGAGCTGCCAGCTTTGTCTGAGCTGGTTGACATTCACTGCTCCAGAATCCTGCGGTTGAGCTGAAGACATGCAGTGTAGCCAGAGACAAAGGGAGATGCGCATGAGAGAGAGCAGGGGTGGCGTGTCGCGGCTCCTGCCAGGTTGGAAGAAGCACGGCTGGGTTTCTGCATATTGACTTAATGCGTCAGTTGTCTCTGCAAAGCATCCTGTTTGTCTCTCATGTATCTCCCCTCCCGGATTAGAAAGTCCCATGGGTATTGGGCAAAGTGACGGAAGGCTGGCTTAGAAGTGCAGTAAATGAAGTCTACACAGTGAAAACTGGAATGATTTTTAAAAACTACTCATCTGCCATGCCACTCCTATAACAATGTGTTATTCAAGACTTTTTAGTCTACGTGCAGAAGAGCTGAAGCTGTGTGTCTGTATTTGGTGTTCTCTACTCTGTCCCACGTGCAGCCTTCACCTTGGAGTTGGTGTGTTTTTACTAACCCAGATGTTTTTGTGTTGAGACAGATCATGCTGTGAGGGTATTTCTTGCCGAGCCATGGTTTTCATCCATGGATATTTTTGTCTCCCTCCCATCCCTACCAGGGGATATTGGCATTTCCTGAAGCCGTTTGTGGTTGTTGCTCCTGGAGGGCTGCTGATGGCACCTAAAGGGTAGAGGGCAAGGGTGCTTCTTAATATCCCACAGTGCTCCAGACAGCCCCCGGAACAGAATTCTTCAGCCCAAAATGCCGATAGAAATATACCTAGTCCAACATATTTAAAATATTCCCTCTAACTCAACTTTTGAGCCAGCAACTAGAAGAAATCAGACTAATGGGAAAAATTCTTTAAAACAAAGCTTAAAGACTCTAGAAGGAAGACTCATTTAAAGATGTCCATTGTTTTTCTGGTATGGCATTTTACATATTAACTTTTCATGGTTATTTTTCATCTGTATTTACAGACTGACCCTCTGGCCTGGGTTTGCCGTGTCTGTGTCATACTTTGAGAGCAGGCTCCTGTTTAGTGCTGATGTGAGTTTTAAAGTCCTCCGGAATGAGACTGTTCTGGAATTCATGTCCGACCTCTGTCACAAAGCTGGGGCAGCTGGCTTCACCCAGATGTGTGAGAAACAGCTGATTGGGCTCATTGTCCTCACAAGGTAAAAGCCGGCTCTCTAGCGAACGGACTGCTGATGGGCTCTGGAAGCATCGGTGCTGCGGCTGGGGCTGGGCACAGCTGTTCAGAATGCCTGGCTGTCCTCAGCTGCTGGACTTCCTCCTTTGGGCTTCTGGAAAGGCCACAGCCAACGTAGTCCCGAGTGAAGTCTCAATGTCCCCCCGCTCACCTCACTCCTGGCACTGTATGTGCTACTTTGAGTGCTTGTGCCTAAACTCCCCACCCCTGTGGCTGCTTTTTCAACTTTCAGCTTTGCAAGGCCCAGCTCTGCTGACACTGATTTTCTGCTGCCTCTGCTTTCCCAGCAGAATTGGAATTACTTTTCTACCTGGGGCTGATTCCTTAGCACTTTCCTAAAAACTATCTCTCTATAGCCATTTTATTTTGCAGTACTGTATTACGGGACTGGAAGTAAGGTCCATGCCTCCTCACCTTTATAAGACTCTGTGGTCTCTTCCACTGAGGCCCTCTTTATATGTGTTTGCATTGGTGTGTAACTTGCCTGCCATGCACAGTGGACTGAAGTAAACGCAGGCGGAGGAGAGATGACTTCCGAGTACCAGGAAGCTCACGATCTGTTGCTGATGACATGTTAGCCTTCTGTTCTGGTTTGGGGTTTCTGCATCAAGCTGTGTGTCTGAGTTAGGCAGTAGATAGGTGGTAATGTTGAGTTCCACAGAGTGAAGGCTTCCTTTTTGGCTTCCTTTTTGGCTTCCTGTTGAGATCTCTGTAAGATCTCTGTGGGTTAACTCTTTCTCAATGGGTTGGCCCTTTCACACTTGGGGGACCTCACAGAAGAGGACCCCACAGACAAGCTGGAGCAGGAGAGGAGAAAGAACTTGGCGTGATCTCAGCTGGCCTATTCTGCAGCTTTATACATAGGAAGTTAAGCAGGAAACACAGTTGACAGATGGGTGAGCATTTCTAGGTACACCTCGTCAGAAAAACTTCCTAGGGGCTCAAAGCATCGGAACGATACCAGGAACTGATGGGGAAGTTGGAGCCATGCGTTGACATTTGAATGTTCAAGGGTGATTTGGCCAAAGTTAAAGTGCCTGTCCATCAGGGAGTGACGCAGGCTGTGGGCCAGGGACTTTGCCCTGACAGCTTGGCTAACATGAAAGCTGATCCTTTCTTAAAGGTGACCATCCTAGCTGTCGTAATTTCTGATGTTCTGGAGTACATCTCATACTTTGAAAATGGGATGAGGTTGTTTCTTCTCTGAGACAATTTGGATTTCTCTCTTGTATTTACCAGATACAATAACAAAACATATCGTGTTGATGACATTGACTGGTCAGTGAAGGCCACACACACCTTTCAGAAGCGGGACGGCACTGAGATCACCTATGTGGATTACTACAAGGAGGTGGGATTTGTTTTCATCCTTATTGCGTGTTCACAGCTCAGAGAAGTCTCCCTGTTCCCTTCCAGCCCAGCGGGTCCGCAGTCCTCCTGCTGAGTCGTCTTCCCGCATGGGTCCCTGAGTCTCCTTTAGCCTCAGTCTCCACTGCCCATCATCCTGTCTCCTCTTACTCTTTTGTTGTAATTTGAATCATGTTCCTTAAAAATGGTTCCGATCAGGCACTTGCAGGTTTAGAACGTATCCACAGTTCCTTGTTGCCTTAGGAGCAGATGGAACAAGCCCCGAGTAGTTTCCCATTTCCCAGGCCCTTTTGGGCTGGCCACTCCTTGTCCTTCGAGCTCCACCTGTCAATACTCCTGTTTCCTTCTTTGCATTCGTGCCTCCTTGACTCAGTTTCCCCTCTTGCATTTTCACATATGTTGCTTCCTCCTAGCACATACACCTCCACAGCCAGACAGCAGCCTTCCCATCTCAGCCAGCAGCCCTTACAGGGTCCTGTGGCCTGTGGCTCTTCCAGGGCTTCCCTGCCCCAGTCCTGGCTGCATCGGGGTCAGGGAAGGACACAGTGAGCTGACCCCTTCCTGGAGCTAGGTATGCCTTGAGTGCTTTACTTCTGGGTTCCAGAGTCAGCACAGTTTTTTTTTTTCCCCCGTTGGTGCAACTGATGTTCATGAAACACTGATTGATGAAATCTCCTGCTCTCTCTGGAAGTTCAGTTCTAATTTCATAAAAAGGATCACTGCCATCCCCCCACCTTGCATGTTCAGGTCCTTCCAGAGGAGTTTTCCTTAACAGATAATTAATCGATATCAACAGGTATTTTAAGAAAGAACCAACAAAAGAATTTTCTTGGTCTCAAGAAAGCTACCTCTTCTTCATTAGCTAACTTTGGAAAGTTAGGTGCTGCAGCTCCAGTCACTTTTTCACTTCCTCCTTCCTGAAAGTACAGTGGTCTGGGACCTGCTGCTGCTGTTACAGAAACAGCTCCAGAAAGGTCAAACTGAATTTCTGTTCCTGAAGGAGTTTTTGGTGGCATTCCCTCCTCGCCTTTCCAATAATTATTGTTTTTACTGGCAGATGACAATTTTGCTACTTTTTGGGATATAGTGTGATGCTTTGGTTTATTTGTACATTGTGCCTTGGGAGTCATAATGTTACGTGAAATCAGCCAGGCACAGAAAGACAACTGGCCTGTGGTCTGTGGTCCCACTCACATGTGGGATCGGAAGACACTGAGCTGGTGACAGTGGAGAGAAGCACAGTGGCCCCCTGAGGCCAGGTCAGGAGGGGTTGGCTGATAGCTGGGGTCAGGGTCAGACAGGAGGAGGTGTTCCTACCTTCCTTTCCACCAAACGCTGACTCTGGGTAACAGAATGGGCTCCTCTGCTTGGGTGACACTGGACACTGAGCGAGCACACCTTGCAGAATGGCCTTCTTCGTTTCTTGACTCCTGGGTTCTGTCCTTGTGACCTCTGCTCTCTTTCTGGGTGCATGTAACAGCTTCCTTTGGTAGAAGGGTTTCAGGTTGTTTATCTCCTCCTGCAAAAGGAACTGTTCCTCACCATGGTTCCTTCCTCTGGGATCTTTGTATTTTGGTATCGGTTTACGTATTTTTGCCTTGGCTTTGTTCCCAAATTACATATTCACTTTCACCCTCAGAACACATTTGCATGAATATCCTTCATGCTTTTTGCACTGACCTCATCCAAACTGAGTTCCTTGTGTTTCCTGACCCAGATGCTCCCTGGGAGCTCTGCCCCTCTGCTTTGCTGTCTTCCTCTTCTTCATCTTCACTTCCTCCTCCTGCTGTCCTCAGGATACCTGCTGCCTCTTTGTCCTTGACTTCTTGCTGGGACTCATCCCTTTCTGCTCCTCCTCCTCTTCCCCTGCAAGTCATGCAGGACTCCTCAGGGATGCCTTTCTGGGACAGGGCAGTCTCCTTTATGGGGTTCTTGCCCAGCTCCCCCCTCCTTGTCATTCCTCATCCTAAACCAGCAGACAGCTTCTCAAAGCACCAGCCAGAAACATGGTTAAGAGCGTGAGCTCTGGAGTCAGCAGCTCCTGGATCCAGCTGGAGCAGCTCAGCAAACCACTGAATGAGTGTCTGCTGCACAGGGAATGTGTCAGCCCACCTTCACAGTGGGCCCACCCTCACCGTGTGGGGTAAGCAGCAGAAACGCTAACAGCCATTCATTCAGTGTCTACACGTGGTGAGACTTGTCCCTTCTTTTAGTCTTCTCTGAAATCCCACAGTTTGACTTCATCCCACCTTTTAGCCTCCGATTCCTCTGCTTCCTCACCCATGCATCCATGCATTTATTATACCCAGGCAGTTGCTTGCCGCTAAAACATTGCTCTGTCTCCGTGTGTGTTCCCTAGACTTGTGCTCGGAGCCACACTGCACCAATCTTACCCACCACCATGTTGGATCCTAGCTTCTGGGTCATGTCCATTGGTGTGTGAAGGCCTTTCTGTCCTCCATGCACGAGAGCTGGCCGTTCTCTGAGCACGTGTACCATGTATCGCACTGTTTCCAGAACATGTGTTCCTTGTAGAACAGGCACAACGTCCTCGTCTCGCAAAGCAGCTCGTGTATAACAGGTGCTCTGTGTGTGTTTAGGAAACCCTCACTTAAACATTTAGAATGATTGTCCCCTGCATGTTTAAATTTGCTCTTATTTGAGCAGATGTGTTTAAAGACTTGAGATTTTCTGAAAAGGGAATCGTGGTTAAAAATCCCAGTCCAATTTTAGTAGTGAGTTGTGGTTTCTCCTTGTGTATGCTGTAATTAGGGGAGAAAGAAAGAACATGCTTTCCGCTTTTAGATATTCTTGCCTCTGTCCTAGAAAGAAACACTAAATGATTATGTTGTCAGTTGCAAAAGTAGAAGACAACTCCTATGGAACTTTATATTTTTCTATTTTATTTTACTAGGAAATATATGTCAAAAAATGCTACGGTATTTGGGGCAAGGGAGCTCCGGAATTCACCTCATGGCAGGCACTGCGTGGGAAGAGGTCTTGTCCATGCTCCATTCTGGCCAGCTTGCCTGAGCTGTTTCTTGTTTTCTTTCAAGCCCTTTCTTGGACGTTGCCTCCTTCATGAAGCCTGCTCTGATTTACCAGCCCAGGAACCCAATGCTGAGTAGTGTAGCAAGCAAACTTTCCTGAAGGATTGAATCTGGCTGTGCTCATTTCTTGGGAGAGTTTATTTTCCCACAGTTTTCCTTCCCAGGAAAGGGATGACGATGGTGTGTGTCTTCCAGTGTGTTGTTGGAAGACTGGGAAGATCAGTGCGTGGTGTGTCATGATTTATGTTTTTCTTCTTTAACTTGTGAATAAAGGGATGTACTTAGCCTGTTCATCTTCCATTCCCCTGCAGTTTATAGGACATAGTTAGCACTCCATAGGAAGTGAATTAATGAAGTTATGAGTCAAAATAACCACCTTCGCAGCTTTTCAACTGTAACATTAGTGACACCCACCATTTAAAAATTTTTTTTTTTATTAATGACTAAAAATCCTTGTTGAAATGGAGGAATGGTCACATTTTATATTCTTTAATTGTTGAAGATAACATCACATGGTACCCAGGAATTCTATAAATTATAATTCTAGTGGCTGCGTCATTGATGTTAAATATATTATTCTAGTCAGGAGTGTTAGCTGAAAATTTTGTCTTTGGAAATGAACTTTTGGCGAGGGGGAGTATGTTGAAATTCAAGTTTAGGAGGAGACGTGGAGCATGAATTAACAGTTAACTAGGCCTCTGTGGAAATAGACACCATGTTGGAGGTTTGTGTGGTATACCACTGTGTTCCTAGTGTGATGTCCTCATTTTTTTTTAAAGATTTATTTATTGATTGGAAAGTCAGATATACAGAGAGGAGGAGAGAAAGAAAGGAAGCTCTTCCGTCCAATGATTCACTCCCCAACTGGCCACAACAACCAATGCTATGCCGATCCGAAGCCAGGATCCAGGAACTTCTTCTGGGTATCCCACGCAGATGCAGGGTCCCAACGCTTTGGGCCGTCCTCGACTGCTTTCCCAGGCCACAAGCAGGGAGCTGGATGGGAAGTGGAGCTGCCAGGATTAGAACCGGTGCCCATATGGGATGCCTGCACGTTCAAGGCCAGGACTTTAGCCGCTAGGCCATGCTTCGTTAAGTGTGGGACAGTCTGCTTCAGTCATCAGCAGTGGGAATGCCTGCTCTGCGTCAGCCCCTGTGGGGCGGCTGAGCTGTGTGTAGAACCAGCTGGAGAACCATGAAACCCAGGGAGCAGAGACTTTTTTGGAGGATGGGGGAAGGGTGAGAATCAAATGGCATTACGTTATAAAAGATAAAAAACTTACCCAAAATAATAAAACTAGCCCTCAGATTTGTAAGATTGTTGGAGGAAAGTAAAAACGAATAGACAACTTGGGTAGTTTTTTCTTTTTTAGTCTATTGAGAAGTTTGACTGATACAATCGTTTTAGGATTCCCTTCTAAGCCAGGATGTTCATCTTGCAGTGTTTCCACATTAACTTTTCCACTGTTAATCTTTCATTTTAAAGCAATATGATATTACTTTATCTGACCTAAATCAGCCGATGCTTGTTAGCCTGCTGAAAAGCAAGAGAAATGACAGTGCCGAGGCTCGGGTTGTCCACCTGCTCCCGGAGCTCTGCTTTCTGACAGGTAATGTTTATGTCTCTTGGATATCAGCCTTCTGCTCACACTATGGAGTGGTGAGGCCAAGGCTCTCCCAGGGCGTCTATGGGCCCAGTAAGACATTGATTCAGTAACATAGAAACAAGTGGGAGTGTAGATGACCTTGGGGTACTTTTTTTTCTTGTATAGTTCATTCATTGCTTTGATGTAAAATAGGTCACCATATATTGTCCTAAATCTAACTGATAAATTTTTTTTTTAATTTCACTAGTACTGGAAGCAATATGACTGTAATTTTTTTCAAGTATATTATTAAAAATTATGCCAGCTGATCCATAGATTCTTTACAGAAGACCTTCCAGCCTATCACCCTTGCTGTATAATAGCATCTGAATAATTGTCTTGAGTGCCTTTAATAATGTCATTTGACTGTCAGGGACAGGCTAGCAAGAGGAGATTCTATACCTTACACATTCATAAGTATTATGTGCATATTTATTTTGGTCATTAGAAAAATTAGTAGGATGATCCTGGAAGGGACGGATGCCTGTTCCTGGTGATGTCTGATACCGTAGCCCTACCTAGTCCAGTGTGGGCAGTTGTGAGTAGATGAGTCTGTTGGATATTTGCCACGTGACTAGCCTGACTGAGAGGCAGAACAGAGTGTGCTGGAAGGATCATATAAAGACCTGATCCCAGAAGCTTAGCATTAAAAACAAGAAACTACCTGATTAATTTTTATGTTGATTCTATGTTAGATGTATTGTATTAGATAATTTATACTACTCAAAATAATTTTATCTATATTTTTTAGCATAGCCATGAGAAAATTTAAAACCTAAAATGATACCATAACTTCCATTTTTCTCGGACTATCCAGATAGTGAAGCTGATTCATTGACATGGAAACATTTGACCTGTACCTGGGCTGGGGATCACATCGCTCGTGTTCTTTTACCTGTGTTGTTTTTGTTTCCTAGGCCTGAGTGACCAGGCAACCTCTGACTTCCACCTGATGAAGGCTGTGGCCGATGAGACGCGCCTTAATCCTCTGAGCCGACAGCAGCGCCTGGCCAGACTCGCAGACGACATACAGAGGTACTGGGCCGACTTCCTGAAGCCAACTGTGCCTAGCCCGAGGCAGGCGGTGCAGAATTGGGTGGTTCTATAGCGCCTTAGGCCTGAATGAAGAGATGTTGCATTCTTGTTGATTTTGAGTGCACCATTCTTGAATTGTGCTGTCCAGAGCTGGTGGAGGGGGATGTCAGGGATAGTCCTGCTGGTTGGAATAGCATCTCTCTCAGTAAGTCAGTTGTGCTTGCATTTTGAATGCAAGAGAAGGGCTTGATTAAAAACAAAAACAAAAACAAACAAACAAAAGCCACTCAAGCAAGCCAGCCACCCACCCGCCCACTGTATTCCAGGCCCCTCGTAATTGGGGTATAGAATGCTTGGATCTTATTACAATGGCTTCTGCAGCCTGAGCTCCAGAAAATCTTGCCCATCTGTTCTTTCACCATGCAATACCTTTGTGTGCTGTGCATCAGCATGACCCTCAGACTGCTTTTTCTGTCCTCCCTTGGTACAGTTTGCTGTATCATGCACTGCAGAAATTGAGCTTTATCCTGGATCTCCCTACTGATCTCAATCATGGCCTACTGGGCCTTTAAAGTACACCCAGTGACAAATATTGGGATGATTCTTTTCTTTTAAATAATTACTTATTTTTTATTGAAAGTCAGCTAGACAGAGAGGAGGAGAGACTGAGAGGAAGATCTTCTGTCTTCTGATTCACTCCCTAAGTGACCTCAATGGCTGGGGCCGAGCCAATCCAAAGGCAGGAAACAGGAGCCAGGAACCAGGAGCCCGGAGCTCCTTCTGGGTCTCCCACATGGGTGCAGGGTCCCAAGTCTTTGGGCCGTCCTCAATTGCTTTCCCAGGCCACAGGCAGGGAGCTGGATGGGTAGCTGGGCCACCAGGACACAAACCGATGCCCACATGGTATACTGTCGCATGCAAGGTCATTGTACTAGGCCCTACATGTAATTTTTATATCCGTCTTAGCAATAAATACTTTCATTTTCCTACGTTTGCCTTTGAGGAAGCCAACAATTTTAAGGATTTGTTTAATCTTTGTTCAAGGTTATACAGAATTTGGAATTAATCCCACAGTCTTCCTGGTCTAATCAGTATGTCCCACTGGAAGCCATTTCCTTCTCTGCATATCCCAAATGGGCATCATTGTTTCCCAATTCCTTTGAGCAGCAAAGCAACCAGAAGTAGAAGCCAAGAATGTGAAATAAACTAAAAATCAACTCATGAATAATTTATTAAGCTGTATCTTAAATGACTGGTTATTTAGGAAACAAGCACCTTAACGATTTAAACAACTCTGTCCACAGAAACAAAGATGCACGTTTTGAGCTCGAGACCTGGGGGCTGCATTTTGGGGGGCAGGTGTCCCTGACTGGCCGAGTTGTACCTTCAGAAAAAATACTACTGCAAGACAACATAGTAAGTGCTGTGGTTTTCCTTTGAAAAGTCTTTACTTGCTTTTGTGTAAGTCTGATCATTTGCCAGAGTGACTGATGGTTTTGCAATATTTATTTGGTTTCTCTGTGATCGTGTCTCTGTGTTTTCTTGATCCCAAGACTTTAGGTTCCTTCTGATTTTCTCTTCAATCTGGATTTACTGTGTGAACTGAGTGGTACTCAGAAACACGATTTTGGTTATTTAGAAAACTATTTCAAACCATTGCAATCAAACATACCCACCTGTTACTAGCTGTTGTGCTACTCCTGATGTAGCTTAAGGCAGAAACAAAAACAGTTACATGAGGAAATTCTGCTAGCTGGTAAAGGTTGAACGTAATGGACTGCTTCTGATGTAGAGTTGTCAGCTCTGTCTATTACTCTTTCATGATAAAATGCTGGCGAGTCAGCAAAAGGATGAAGCATTTCCCCCGGAACCCGTTTCCAGACGTGGCACCTGGGGAGAGAGGCAGTCTGAGACCTGGAGCAGCAAATCACTTTCACTTCTGAACTTCAGAAGAAATGAACCTGCTCGATGCAAAAACTGTGCAGTGTCTTTATATTTGTCACTTCATCTTGCCTGTTTAGGAATTATCTATTTTTGGGCCCAGCATAGTATTCTAGTGGCTAAAATCTTCTCCTTGCACACACTGGGATCCTACATAGGTGCTAGTTTGTGTCCTGGTGGCTCACTTCCCATCCAGCTTCCTGTTGTGGCCTTGGAAAGTAGTCAAGGATGGCCCAAAGCCTTGGGACCCTGCACCCACATGGGAGACATAGCAGAAGCTCCTGGCTTCTGGCTTCAGATCAGCTCAGCTCCGGCCGTTCCTGCCACTTGGGGAATGAATTAGCGGACAGAAGATCTTCCTCTCTCTCTCTCTCTCTCCTGTTTTCTGTATATCTGAATTTCCAATAAAAATAAATACATCTTTAAAAAATTTTTTATTTTTATTTGAGAGGCAGATAGATACACAGTGCAAAACACACACGCAGAGATGGAAACACAGCGATCTTCCATTCGTTGGTTTATTCTTCAAATTCCTGCAGCAGCTGGGGCTGGATCAGGCTGAGTCAGGAGCCCAGAACCCGGGCTGGGTCTTCCATGTAGGCAGCAAGGACTCAGCTCTTATGCAGTCACCCGTTGCTTGTCAAGGTGTGCCTTAGTGGAAAGTTAGATTGGAAGTAGAAGCGGGACCTGATTCCAGGCGCTCCTGATACAGGAAGAGGCTGTGCTAAGCATGTGTCACAACAACAACTGCCCCTCTCATTTATTTTTGACAGTTTATCCAAATTATAAAACCTTTATTGGTGAGGCTGAGGGAAAAATATTTTTTAAACAAAACAAAAATTTTAAAAGATCGGTTTTAAATCCACACGTGAACCAAAGTGCCAAAAAAAAAAAAAACCACTAAAATTATCTGTCTCATACTTTATAAGTAAAATTTTATTTCCTTTTTTGGGTAGGGCATAATCTCAATAGGAGAAGGAATATTAAAATGAGAAATGGGAGAAATGTGTCCCCTGGAGGGTGGTAGGAAGTCATGGGCTTCTTGGTCAGTTTTAGCCTTTGGAAACTCAGTTCTAAAATGGGGTGTGTTCACAGGCCATAGATGTTCCTGGGTACACTGCCCCTTCTCCTTTCTTGCTGTGAGATGACAGCAGATAAAAATGTTCTGTGAGAGTGCATGGGGACTGTTCTTACTGGCTGAGAAGGACATGAGCAAGCCTTGCTTTCAGACAGAACCACGTGCAGAGGGCCAGCCATCCCCTTCACTCCCAGGCTAAGGTCACTGCTGGAGCCAAGTCCTGGCCTGACTGCTTCAAGTGTTCTGGAGATGACTGGGACCCCAAGTCAGAGTGCATGGCAGAAAGGAGCCTGGGCAGTGTGGTGTTGGGAGACCAGCCCTGTAAACCTGTCGTCACCACCACGTGGCCCATGGACTTCTGTCAACCACAGCTTTCTCAACAGTGAAACAAGGGAACTGGGATGCTTAGTCAGTAATGATGTGCATAGCAATTGCCTGGGGACCTTCCTAATTTGCAGATCCTGGCTCAGTACATGTACTCCAGATTCTATACTTCTAGCAGGCTCTCCAGAGACGGTCCTGCTGTTGGCCTACGAAACAGCAGTTTGAGAAGCAAGAGACATTAAATTGCATTGTGGTCCCTTAACAGTCCTAGCAGCAGATCTTCCTGGCCCCTGCACCAAAGACATTTCATTCTAATTAGGAATGAGCAGAAAGCTGGGGGAGAAATCTTAAGTTTCCCCTTTTTAATTTGAGTTGAGAGTTTGGCTTCTATGTCCTGGCCTCATCTTTACTCCTAGACAGTGCTAGCATAACAACTAGTCCCCATACCCTGGAAGCTCTGTGTGGTTTTATGTGATGACCTAGAGTATCATTGATCATTTCCTGTTTGACATCTCTTAGATGCCTGAAATGAAGAGATCAAATCGGAGAGCTTGCTCAGCTGAGCCATTCATAATAAAAGTCACAGATTGTTTAAGGATAGAAGGAAACCCAAGCAGTCCTTGAATCAGACACCATTCTGCACACTGAGGAGGTTATGAGATCTTAGCCGGGGTTATGCAGCCGGCGTCTGGCAGACCTGGGTGGTGCTTAGGGGCCACAGCTCCTAGAAAACGTGTGGATTCTGGTGATCCGAGCAGTGCCTGTGTGCTGGAAGACTGGGAACAACAACCTGTATTAAGTCCCGTGTGACACATATTGGCTGTTCGCACACTGTCTCTGTTCAATTGCTGTCGGAATAAATTGGTTCATCCTTTCACGATTGTATTTTCCAGTGTCAACCCATGTCTGCTGCCGACTGGTCCAAGGACATGCGGACCTGTAAGCTTCTGAGTGCACAGTCTTTGGAGAGGTGGCTGCTGTTGTGTGGCAGCAGGGCAGAGCACCTGGTCGAGAGCTTCCTGGGCTGCTTGAGAAGAGTCGGAGGTTCCATGGGATTCAGTGTGGGCTACCCCAAAATGTAAGAGCACACAGATTGCTAAGGATGTATTAATGCACTTTAGTTCAAGCTGGGAAGTAATGGCTGGTAGAATGGCAAAAGCTGCTTTAACCAAGTACTGTTTCTTAGTATAAAGTGCTAAGAAAATAGTAGCTGTACAAAGCGATAGGTGTTTGGGCCCGATGTAGTAGCCTAGCTACTAAAGTCCTCGCCTTGCATGCACTGGGATTTCATATGGGCACCGGTTCTAACCCCAGCAGCTCCACTTCCCATCCAGCTCCCTGCCTGTGGCCTGGGAAAGCAGAGGACAGCGCAAAGCCTTAGGACTTTGCACCCGCGTGGGAGACCCAGAAGAAGCTCCTGGCTCCCAGCTTCAGATAGGCTCAGCTCCGGCCATTGCAGCCATGTGGGAAGCGAAACAACAGACAGAAGATCTTCCTCTCTGTCTCTCCTCCTCTCTTCATATCTGACTGTCCGATAAAAATAAAATCAATGTTACAAAAACAAATCGATAGGTTTTCTAATGATTAATTTTTTTGTAAAGTGAAAGCATATTTTATGCAGGTCTTTTTAATTGTCTTCACAGTCTCTCTTAGTCAGTAGTCACACTAGTTGGGGTGTAAGACAGTGAGTGCAAGTACTGCCTTCGCAACTTTCCCTTTCACATTAGTTAACATAAAACTTAAAAGCAGAAAAGCGAAAGCAGAGAAAAATTTTATTCTCTGAAATATTTGACAGATTTTACATTTCAGAATCAGATCTGGAATAAGCTTTTCTGACTCCATTACTGCAGAACAAAATTGATCAAACTAAGAACATTTGCTTATTTGAACACTTGTTGTCTATGTGTGTTAGATACTATACCAGTGCTGTGGCTGGAAGCGTTAGAAATGTAAGGGATACATACCTAGACAGTCACATTCAAAGTCAAACACTCTTTTGCTTTAGAAAAATCATAAATTTAGGCATGCTTTATTTATTGAACTTGCTTTGAGTAGAAAAGAGGAACAGACACGTATTCTTTGTTATATTGGAGGTATAAATGTCCTAATTGGGAAGGTGAGAAGTTATTCTTTAAACACATAGTTACTAATTAATTGTATCTGCCTCATAATCATTGTTGAGAACCATGGTTCTTCCCAGAGTCTCATTTTACACCAGAGAATTCTCTTTCCAAATTTGTTAGCAGATCAAACCTGTTAGCTGACTTGAGTTTCATCTGCTCTAATCTCTTAATCCATAAACTAAGGAAGCAAGAAAAGATCATGGAAGAAGCCACTTTGCTCAGACCGTGGGTAGGAAGTCTCAGGCCTGTACAACATGAATGCTTTGAAAAAGTCTGTGCCGTGTTCTATCCTTGGCCTCATTAGAAAACCTGTATTTTAGTCCATCCTTTTTATTTCCTGTGAAGTATCTATTTACTTATTAGATTTATGTGCATAATCTTTTTCAATTGAAACATTGGCTGATGATCTTAGAAAAAATGGATAGTTAGAGCGCTTGAATCCACATGCAAAAATTTGTACTGGTAAAGTTAACTCCATGCAGTGGAGTGGTTAGTGGTTAGCTGTTAGTGGTTCTGCCACCTGCTGGGCACATTTTTAAAGGCCATGAGCTTTGGAATACATGTAAAAGGCTAGTTCTAGGTAAAGAAACTACTTATAAACTCTTGCGTGTAGAAGCTACTTCTGCAGCCTCTGGTCCCTAGCATAATATAAGTATAGATTAAATGATTGATTAATGGCAGATGAATTAAGGATGGGAATTCCAGATGCTGAACATGCCAATGCACTAAGGAAAGCATAAACCTTTTTGTCTGAATCATGAGGACTAATTGACTGTCTCAGTCTCATTAACCTAATTCCTGAAATGTCTGTTTTAAAATCTCCAAAGAGATTAAATATTCAATGCATCTCAGTCCTAGTTTATCTTGAAACCTGTTTCAGACCAGATATTATATGATTTGTAGTTCCAAAGTTCTTTATCAAGACCTTTTTGAATAGCAGAGTTATTAAGTTCAAAGAATCTGCGCAAGTGAGAAACTTTGCCTTGCTACCCTTCTACCTGTTACAGTAGTAAATACGATTATTGAATTTTTTTCTGGCTTGTGTTATAATAGGAGAAGCAGTGTTAGACTCAGAAGGTTTTTACTTCAAGATTTTTTTTTTCCTAAAAGGACTTGTTCTCTTAAAATCAACTTTTAGTATCTGTAACGAGGTTTGATTGTGTACCACTAAGAAAGCTTCAAAATTTATGTTTTTTTTATGCAGCATAAAACTACAAGAAAATCCAGCTGCATTCCTGAGAGCGATACAACAACACATGGGTCCCGATATTCAGCTGGTAAGTATGGAATACTTTGGTTATTTGATGTGTAATTCTTTTTTTTTAAAGGACTTATTTTATTTTTATTGGAAAGTCAGATATAAAAGAGAGAAGGAGAGACAAAGAAGATCTTCCGTCTGATGATTCACTCCCCAAGTGAGCGCAATGGCTGGAGCTGAGCCAATCCAAGGCCAGGAGCCCGGAGTTTCTTCCAGGTCTCCCACACGGTGCAGGGTCCCAAGGCTTTGGGCCGTTGTCGACTACTTTCCCAGGCCACAAGCAGGAAGCTGGATGGGAAGTGGGACACGAACTGTCACCCAAATGGGATCCCGGTGCATGCAAGGCGAGAACTTTAGCTGCTAGGCCACCGCGCCAGGCCTTGATGTGTAATTCTTTCTTTAGCTTTGTGACTCCTACAGTCTTAAAACAAGAGGCCTGAGCAAGCTGTCCCATGTTATATTTGCAGATTGCTGTGCACCCATGCAAATCTCAGATTTTAAATCATTGTTTTATTTCCCTTTCATATTGCTAACATTGTTTTCTAGAATACTTGTTTCTACCCTCACATGTTTTCAAACTTCTTTTGGGTCATCTCTGACTTAAAACTTAGGAAAATTGACTCTCCTCTCATCCCGTAAGTGTTGGGTCACACACGCTTCTCCTGGCATTTCAGCGGCTTCTCAGAGGGTTCAGGCTTTGGCCAGTCACCCATAGCCACAGTTCTTGCTTCCTCTGACTTCTTCCCACATTCTGTGGGTTTCATTCCTTATCAGCACTACTTCTACACTTCGCTGCCCCCATTTTGCAGTTTCATGGTGTGTGTGTGTGTTTCAGCGTGTGTGTATGTGTGTGTAACTGATTTTGCAGACCACTTGGAGGCAGGGTGTGTTATATCACATTACAACGTAAGAGATATCCCCGTTCTGAAAAATTTTTTTAAAAAATCTCTCAACCATTTGTGTTCCCTCTAATTTTTTCTGTTCTCCCAGGTCATAGCATCTCCAACCCATTGCAGTGATGGTTGCCCGAGAGGTGGTCCCCTAATTCTGTCATTCCTTCTTCATTTGTTAGGGACCATAGGAAGACTCTCTTCTCCCTCTTTTTCTTTCTTTTTTGCCAGTTAGAGTCCATTCTGGCTGGCTCTGTGTCTTCTTCAGATGGCCTCATCTTTCTTGAAACACATCCTTATCTTCTGGCATCTTGTAGTTTCCATCCCTGATATCAGGTATTTCTCCAAGGAGCCTTGTTTCCTTTGGGTAGCAGGTAGCATTTGGAAACCAACACAGGGGCCCCAGTGTTCCTGTGTGCTGCTGTGGATGTTGCTGTTCTTGGGTCTTCCCATGCGCAAAGGCAGGAAACACTTGTGTGAGGTGTGGTGTGTATTTTTAAAACTATGTATGCACACATGAACTATATATATGTATGCATATATATACATATATGTATGTATATATATAAATGTGTATACACACAGATATTTGATCCATCACTGTAGAAGAGCATTTTTTTCCTTCTTTGTGTCTTCCTTGTCTGGTAGTGAGAAACATGGCTCCAGGAGTTTTCATTCACTTGCCTGCTTTTCCATTCCCTGGCATATAACCAGCCATCTGTAAATCTGTAAATCATCATCTGTAAATCCCATCTCCCCAGGCCCTGTTCTACCACCTTCTTTGTTTATACCCAAACAGGAAGGAAAGAAGGAAGGAAGGAGGAAGGAAGGAAGGAGAGAAGGAAGGAAGGAGAGAAGGAAGGAAGGAGAGAAGAAAGGGAGCAAGGAAGGAAGGGAGGGAGCAAGGGGGAAGGAAGGAGAGAGGGAAAGAGGGAAGAAGGAGGAAGAGAGGGAAGGAGACCTGTAAGAGTTGTGCTGACAATTTAAAATTATTTCCCATCTTATATTATTAATTGTAAATAATTTCAGTCTTTGGCATTAGGATTCTAAACAATTTGAGAGGTGAAAACCTGATTTTTTGTGGGCCCGGTGCGGTGGCACAGTGGTTAGGGTCCTCACCTTGCACGCCCGGGATCCCATATGGGCGCCGGTTCTATCCCGGCAGCCCCACTTCCCTTCCAGCTCTCTGCCTGTGGCCTGGGAAAGCAGTCCAGGACGGCCAAGGCTTTGGGACCCTGCACGCGACACACGAGATCCGGAAGAGGCTCCTGGCTTTGGATCGGCATAGTATCGACCTGTTGCGCTCACTTGGGGAGTGAATCATCGGACGGAAGATCTTCCTCTCTGTCTCTCCTCTCTGTATATCCGCCTTTCCAATAAAAATAAAATAAAATAAAATAAAATAAAATAAAATAAAATAAAATAAAATAAAATAAAATAAAATGAAATGAAATGAAATAAAATATAAAATAAATCTTTTAAAAAAACAAACCTGATTTTCTTCTAATCAGGACAATGCTTACAGTTTCTGTGATTTGGGGGTTTAAAGATACAGGATAAATCCAAGAAGGAGATGGGAGGGAAGCCAGGAGAAGCCCTTTGGTATGAGATACACTTGACAAGAAGTAGGGCAAGTGGCAGAGGGGGTGGAATTGAATATAGCAGAGGACTCAGACCTTCTTTATTCTTATTTTTCCTTCTCCTGTATCCCTTATCTTAACTACCAGTAAAAGACAAAACATTTTTGTTAGTCTCTTTCATTTTGATGATCATAGTGTCTGCTGGAACAAGCATAGCAGCTTAAGGTAACTCTCCACTTAGCTGATCTGGGAGTGGTGGGGAGGGATCTGTGCGACTGTGTGTGTCGGGGCGTGGGGGGAGGTTGGCGAAAGAGCTGGCGGGAAGGGATTGGGAGGGCGTGAACAGAAGGAAATCTGTGACCTGGGAAAGAAGCAGAGGCAAGGGAGACACGTGTGATTGGAGGGAGGCTTTGCAGAGTGGCTGGAGAAGTGGTGCTTGTGAATTTGCCAGGGGTGTGGAGGCCATTTCAGAGGACCGTACTCGGGGTAATATTTACTTCTTAGAAACGTTAGGGCAGAAGAAATCTGGAGAATCCATGTACCTGTGATTTTCAAAAGGCCACTTGGAAGCATTAGTAAATGAACTTCTATCCTCTGATTTTTTTTTTTTTTTTTTTTTGCTCTTAGGTAATGTGCATCCTGCCTTCAAATCAGAAGAACTTCTATGATTCCATTAAAAAATATTTGAACACAGACTGTCCTGTCCCAAGCCAATGTGTGCTTGTTCGGACCTTGAATAAGCAAGGCATGATGATGAGTATCGCCACCAAGATTGCCCTGCAAATGACCTGTAAACTCGGAGGAGAGCTGTGGGCCGTGGAGATACCTGTGAGAGCGCCAGTTCTTTCTCCTTGGAGTAATCAATCAGACTGTGACGTTCGAATAGGGGGCAGTATCAGATGATCCCAGCATTCTGTGGCCTGGGACGGCATTACACAAGCTGCCGTGTCCAGAGGGAGGGGAGGCTTAGCCTCCTCCAAGGCCTTCAGTTAGGTTGCCAGCATTTCGTGACAGTCTGGTTAGCCATGGATGCTCCAACTACTATGTATACACACACACACACAGATTTATTTGAAAAGCAGAGTGACAGGGAGCTCTTCCGCCTGCTGGCTCACAGTACTTGGTCATCTGCTGCTGATCTCATAGGTGCATTTGTAGGAAACTGGATCAGAAGTGGAGCAGCCAGGACTCAAACTGGTGCTCATGTGGGAGATGTGGGTGTCCACAGTCTGTGGCTTAATCCACTGCATGCCAAGGCTGGTTCCCCACCTCCACCCCAGCATATGTTTTAAGACCTGTGTTCCTTGGCTTCTACATTAACTGGTTTTCCTCTCAGAGCCACCTCCCGTGGCTGGGGTTCCACCAGAGCTGGGGAAACTGGTGGAATTCAACATCAGAACTGTAAAGGGAGCTGAGCAAATCCTCTCTGTTTTCTGAGTGGTGACTACTAGGAAAGGCAGTGAGGAGAACCAGGAACGAGGGAAGGCTGCCGTTTCCTCGCCTTTCTATAACCAAGATGAGCATGGCTACCCTACTGTGCCCCCTGGACATGCCAAGGGAGCCTTCCTTGGGGACAGGAAGAACCTGGAGTGGAATTCCTCTGCAGATCGCTCAAGACACGGGTGCATGATGGCTACTGCCCTAGAATCCCTATAGCCTCGGGTGTCCCTAGCTCACCTACGTAGGGCGAATGCTGTGGTGAACGAGAGTTCTTGAGGGAAGACAGGTGTCTTGAAGCACAGGAGGGGCTGTATTCCTCCATCTCTTAAATGTCTCTCTCCCTCATCTCTGGTTTAGTAATCAGCCTCAGATGGATCTTGATCTCCCTGGCACAAAGTTTAACTAATTTAGGAACTGGAGGCAGTTTTGCAAAAAACATACTAATGATTGTTTGGGGGAAGTGATTCTTCATACCTGTTAAAGCATGCACATTTCATTTTGTAGTTGAAGTCCTTGATGGTGGTCGGTATCGATGTCTGTAAAGACGCATTCAGCAAGAACATGGCAGTGGTTGGATTTGTGGCCAGTGTTAATCCTCAGATTACCAGGTACTGTCACATCTACCCCATCCTAGTCTTTACTCAGGTTTTTATGTTTAGCTAAAAGACCTAACAGCAAGGAATAATTCTGTATTATTCACTCACTTTGAACACCCAAAGTTTGATCACAAATTACGCTGCTACTTGAAAAGGTGATTTGAGAAACTGAGGCAAAATGTAGCATCATTAAAAATATTTATTTTCAAAAATTTTTCTAGGGCAAGATATTTCTTATGAATTCAGACATACTCCCTAAATGAACTTTTGACACATTTGATACAAATAAATGTTTGATACGTGCTCCTTATTGTTATTAACACTCGTAGTCACGTGATATAATTGTTATTCAAGAATGATGCTTTATTGGCTGACAATTTTCTTTAAATTGTAGCTCTTAGAATTGTTTTAGCATTTGTAACAAACTGATGGTTTTTTTGTATATATATATTTTTTTATTAATTACATTGCATTATGTGACACAGTTTCATAGGCTCTGGGATTCCCCCAACCCCTCCCCATACCCTCCCCCTGTGGCGGATTCCTCCACCTTGTTGCTGTTGCTGTATTACATTTCAAATTCAGTCAAGATTCTTTCATTGCAAGTGTGTACCAAGCATAGAGTCCAGCATCTTATTGTCCAGATAAATTCAACGGTTTCTTGGGGAGACCATCTCTGGTCTGAAGGCAGAGCTGGCAGAATATCATCCCAATCAATTTAAAGCCCTGACGTAACAAACGGATGGGTTTTGAAGCTGTAGAAACTGCTAGCTTACGCTATTTGATGTCCTCAGGTAAATTTGTGGTCAGGCAACCATGAGGGAGTGTGGGAGACACGACAGGTGGTATCAGATTTGCATACCTATAGGTTCTCCCAGGTTGTATGGGATTCCTGCTGTGTGTGTCACTTCATTAATCAGCTTGATAAAGGACTGCCCCATCCCCCATTTATACATCTAGAATTTATTTGTATGTGAGAAATGAGAGTAGATATGTGTCTTAGAATTTTCCCAAGTGATTGCCATTTAGGGGGAATTCCCAATTTTTTTCTCTAGCACTATGGAAGTGTAAATGACAAAAATTGTATATTTAAAGTTTGCAACATGATGTTTTGATACATGTATGCATTAACTCACACAGGATTTTTGTGGTGACAAGGATTAAAAATCTGATCTAGCAAACTTGAAATTTACAATACATCGCAATTGATTATAGCCAACATGTGCCATACATCAGCTGTTCAGAACTTATTCTCTTACAACTGGAAGTGTGTACCAGTGTCTCGTTTCCCTATCCTCGGATCCCTGAAGCCACCCTTCTGCTCGGTTTCTGTTGAGTTCTGATATTGTTAGATTCCACATATCAGTGACATCATACTGCTTTTGATTACTTTTGTCCTTTGCTTATTTTAGGTGGTTTTCGCGCTGCATCCTTCAGAGAACAACAACCGATATTGCAGATTGCTTAAAAGTTTTCATGACTGGTACTAAAGATAAAGTGCTATGGGTGGGCTCCAAGGATGTTCCTTTGTACTTAAGTTCCCATGCTTGTCGTAGTCCAGATAGGTGAAAGCAAACTTCCTGAGCATGCCTGCGTCCACTCTACCCAGTTGGAGATTCTCAGTGTTGTGTGGTGGCTCGGGAGAATGGGCTGTGTAATATTTATGTTCATCTGTGTGGGTTAAACAGAAAGGGAAGAGGAGAGAAAGTCAACAGTTGGTGGTCCTGACAAGCATTGAAAGTACCAAGAAACCAACCCTGGAGGAACTGGGTTGTAACAAAACAGTGTTAAGTCTCAGCATGAGAGAAAGACTTTGGAGTGGAGAATGTAAGACAGAGAGAAGATGTGGGCGGCAAATGCAGTGGGAAGAAGGAGCCAGTGTCTACCCCCTCACTTGCTCTGGCCTGGGTCTGCCTTCCCTCTTTGCTAGCAGCGTGGCTTCAATGAATTCCTCCATCTCCCGTTAAGTATTTTTATCTGTACACTTTGGGAGGTTGTAATTTTTACTTTCTGAAAGAGTGAGTGAAGTAGGATGTGTTGGTAATGGTCTTACAGGTATGATTATTTTCTATCAGACTGAAATGAATTTTCTCAACATTCAACCTTGCTAATGCAGTTGTGCAATAGATAGATTTTTTGTGTGTCCTACCGATTCCCTTCACTGCAAAACCTGTCATTTTTGCAGCAGTTGTTATTAAAAGGCTCTGCCGGGTGGGCGTTGCTGTGTGGTCTCTGCTCCTAGACAGTTTTTGGTTGGAGTGGGTGGAAATGTTTTCAGACTTGACGTTGCCGGGGGGGAGTTAGAGTCTGAATGGATGAATAAGGATCAAGGAACGTTTGCAGAAGAACAGCCGACTTGTTTTCTTGCTTTTGTATTTATTCTCATTAGAGAAGAAAGTGACATAATTTTATCTAAACTATATTTAGAGAGGATTTTAAAGACTTGAGGAAAATTAATTAGTATAATCTGATTTCAGGCATTTTGTGTCTGTTGCTGAAATTAAATTTTAATTTCTTTTTTGAATATTAAATTATACTTGGAGAGGTAAAGTAAATGAATATTTTATGTCACAGGAACCATTCTGAGTTCTTAAATAGCAGTGATGAAGGAATGCTTCCAGAAGTAATCCCTATTTGTGTTATCACAAATATGACCCAAATGAGGAATCACTCTGTGTTATCACGGCCTGAAATCGCAGTGTTATCTAGGCGCTGGCATCTATGGGAATGTCATTTTCTGTTGGCATTGAGCAAGTTGCTCTTTTCTTACTAACACAACATTTTGCAGGCGCTCTCAACAAGTGGTACAAGTGCAACCACAGCTTGCCAGCACGGGTAATTGTGTACCGTGATGGGGTAGGAGATGGCCAGCTCAAAGCCGTTAGTGGCTATGAAGTTCCACAGCTGCTGAGTACGCTCACAGAATCCAACTCAAACGCCAGGTATTAAATTACAATTCTATGTGCTGCTCACCCAGTAACGATACATTTACCTGTAATTGTAATGCCTATTTTGTATGCAGTTAAGTTTTGTACCGAAAGGTAGTTAGAATGCCTAGCATAAATAGCTTGGGAGCTGGCAGTGCTGAGGACCCTGGGTGGGGACACAGATGAAGTCAGGTAACCTGGAGAGCAGAAAGTCTGTAGGAGTGCTGGCAAATGAAGATGCTTTATACGTATTAACAGTCCATGAGAAAGCCGGCTCTGGCTTCCAACTGGGGTCTCAGACACACAGTGCTGTCACCTGTCAGTTGGAGGCACTATGATGTGTGAGGGACCGCAGGAGATGCCGAAAGGCAACTGAGCACCCTGAAAGCCGAGCTGCTATGGAAATCAGATCATGGGAAGTCCCACGCAAACTGCTAGATTTTTAGATTCTGGCATTTCGGTACAAAATTTTCTCCAGTAATTGTGCAAAGAAGCACGTATGAAAAAAAATGGAGAGGATAGTAATCTTATATTAGCTTCCTGAAATATTTGGAAACATCTTATTTCTGAGTACAGAGCTCTGTCTGTAGAGTTACATGGTCATTCTCTTAGTCAACCATTGTGTTACCACTTGGTCATTCACCCTTTGGCCAGAATGTGTTAGATCCAGCCACCTGTCTGTGTGTCCATTCATCCTTCTGTCCATCCACCAGCCCACCCACTCAGGTATTAGATTCTCCCAATTTAAATCATTTGAGAGGTCAGAGGAACTTATGGTTCTTCTTTTGCTACACAGAAATAATTTCCAGAGGAAGAATAAAGCTGAAAAATAGTGTGATTTTTCCTAATGGTAAAAAATCAACCAACCAAACAAACAAAAAAATACATGTCTTTATGAGTTACTTTGGAAACTCATCCCTCAGAAGTGTGAAATGAAGTTAATTGTCTATTAATCATTTCCTTCTGCTCCCTTTACATGATAAAAGCTAAACAGAGGACTTGGCTTCACACAGTTTTGCAACATGTGAAGACAGTCACTGACTTTAAAAAAAAATAGCAAAGGTGAAATTGTCAGTGGTTTTTAATCTTTCACGATTACAAAAATATGGGCTGTTAATATTTCTTTTTAAAAATCATCAGCAATGGGGCCCGGCGTGGTGGTGCAGTGTTTAAGGTCCTTGCCTTGCATGCCTGGGATCCCATATGGGCGCCGATTCTATCCCGGCAGCCCTGCTTCCCTTCTAGCCCCCTGCCTGTGGCCCGGGAAAGCAGTCGAGGATGCCCCAAAGCCTTGGGACCCTGCACCCACGTGGGAGCCCCAGAAGAGGCTCCTCGCTTCGGACCGGCATAGCATCGGCCGTTGTGCTCACTTGGGGAGTGAATCATCAGACGGAAGAGCTTCCTCTCTGTCTCTCCTCTCTGTATATCCGCCTTTCCAATAAAACATAATAAAAAATAAATCTTAAAAAAAAAATCATCAGCAGTAAAGAACCACAGAGTGGCCTGGGTCGGCTGTAGTTCCCTCGTTATTGTGTGTTGCTCTGGCCCAATGCTGCAGGCTGTCGGTGATCGTGGTCAGGAAGAGGTGCATGCCACGCTTCTTCACAGAAATGAACCGGACTCTGCAGAACCCCCCGCTGGGCACTGTTGTGGACTCAGAAGCAACACATCCTGAATGGCAAGTACTAGAAATCCATTCTGGCCTGCCGTCATTGTGCTCTGTTTAGGTTTGGGTTTAACTGTGTTGGTTTTCCCCTGCCACATGCATTCCACTTGCCCCTCAGGTATGACTTTTACTTGATCAGCCAGACTGCCTGGCGAGGAACTGTTAATCCCACCTACTACAATGTCATCTATGATGACAACGGCTTGAAACCTGACCACATGCAGAGACTGACATTCAAAATGTGCCACCTCTACTACAATTGGCAGGTGAGTCAAAGCTGTTTCCTTATGCAAGTATGATATTCAAGATTGCTACCTGGGAGTTGTCACCTAATTCAATTTGTGCACAGCACAATACCTGACTCCCTAATTCCACAGTGGGAGGAACTCTGACACAGAAACGGAGTAATGATAATGAATTTAATAGGCAATTTTTGTAGTTCCTGCAGGACTTCATTATATACATTCTTTTAGGGAACCTTGGGAGAAAATTAGAGCTCTAGTTCCATGTTACAGACGAGGACATTGGAGCCAATATGGATGTTGGCGAAGTGTTAACTGACCTGAGTCTGCTCTTGTGCCGCACACACATTAGTCCAGGAGCTGCTCTCAAATCCAAGGCCAAGGTTTGCTGTGAGCCTCTGGAATGAAGACAAGGTCACAGATAACCTAGATTAACCCCAGTGTGATGGCTCCCCAGTTTTCAGCACCAGGAGCCAGATTAACCATCACTCCATCCTGCCCAGTGAGTTCCCATTAGATGAGGAGTGTCTTTGCTGATTGGCTTTAGTTTTTACTTACTTAAAATCATTCTATTGCCCATGTAACCAGTCCAAAAAAAAAAAAAAAACTCAGTATAAAACCACTTTGAAGAGCAAATTTTCCTCTTAAGTATTATCAATAATTATTACCAATTATTACTTCTTCCTCCTCAGGGCGTAATCAGCATCCCAGCTCCTTGCCAGTATGCACACAAACTTACCTTCCTGGTGGCACAAAGCATTCATAAAGAGCCCAATTTGGAATTAGCCAGTTCTCTCTTCTACCTGTGATGATGTGAGCCATGGGCATCATTTGATGGAGAATCCGAGGGGTGGATCTGTGTGCTTTGTATGAATCTGCTGTAAACCTGGGGCTGTACGTGGGCAGAGGCAGTGAGTTGTCCAAAAAGCTTAACTTGAAGCGGAGCATGAGAAATGGATGTTACTTTAGTGTATGTGCTGCCAAAGTGAGCAGAAACATACGTTAAGTAGTTGCATGGTTGAAGTAAATTCTTGTTTTTGGTAGATGGGATTAAACTTTACCACCACCTGTAAAGCATTGCATAATGTTGAGTATCTTTTAGGAAAATGAATGCCCACTGTTTAGATAGAAGATAAACAGAATTTAATTCCCACCCTGTTGAAGAGATTTGCTTAAAGAGTATGATAGCGCATTTTGTAAAATAGTTTATTTGTTGGAAAATTAAAAAAAAAGCCAGAACACCACATTTGTGTTATTTGCATTTGCATTTATATTACGTGTGAACAATGTTGTTTTCAACATAGACTCACCAAGTCACACATCACCCTCAGTCTTTGAGGTACACGAGTCAGATCATCAAAAGGTGCGTGAAAAATGAACCATGAGAAAGTTACACATGGATTTCAGCATTCCTTGGCACAAAGACACATATTTTACTTCTAATTTTCAAGAACTGTTGGAAGTATGTTCTAGTTTCTGAAACTGTCCGTAACACCTTGTTCTGTTGACCTTGACTCTCAGTGATAACCTTGCTTGCTTCTCGCTGAGACAGAGAAGCCATCAGGAATGAACTTGCACAGGTTCTTGTTACATCTGCAGATTTCCTCTCTGGAATCAGCACCGTGTATTTGTTCTTCCAGAAAAAACATCTCCAAAGACAAGCCTGTGCTTAATGTCTTCTGAGTAGAGTTTGACCTCAACCACCACATTGAAACTGCTTCACTCGGGAGCACCAATCACCTCGGCTGTGCTGATTCCAGTAGTCAACTCCTGCTTCTCATGCTAAACACAACATTTGACCATTTTGCCATTTTTCTCCACCTCAGATGCTATTTATTTGACCTCTGGGATAACACATTCTCCTAGTTTCTCTCCTACGGTGTTGGTCACTCATTCCCAGCCTCCTTTTCCACATTGAACTGTCCCAGGAAGGAGAGTACAGTGATATGTAAAGAGTGTTATCATGCAGAGAATTCAGAGTTCTAAATCCTACTTGAAGGGGAAAGGTCCTGTGGAAGGCTACAGTGAAGTGTGTTGGGGAGAGCGGTAGGTGCTGAGGGACAAGGAGAAGCAGACTGCAGGAGGGACCTAACGCAGAGGGAATAGGTGAGAATAAAGTGCACTGAAGTGGGGGTGGTGCTGTGGCTCAACAGGCTAATCTTCCACCTGCTAATGCCAGGATACCATATGGGCACTGTTTCATGTGCTGACTGCTTCACTTCCCGTCCAGCTCCCTGCTTGTGACCTGGGAAAACAGTGGAAGATGACGCAAGCCCTTGGACCTCTCTACCAATGTAGGAGGCCCAAAAGAAGCTCCTGACTCCTGGCCTTGGATCAACACAGCTCAGGCTGTTATAGCTATTTAGGAAGTGAGCCAACAGATGGAAGAATGCACAAAGAGTGCCCTGAAAACACTTGTTTTCTATTTGAGAATTTTGTCCAGATGTGATGGAAATGCACCCAGCCAGAGTCTGTTCCTGCAATCATGATAACCCTTAACATACATAACATTAAGCATTTTACATGTGTATCTAATTTTCATGGTGAGCATGTTACAGATAAAACAGGATTACAGCTGCCATGTCAGTTACATTGTCTAGCTTTAAAATATACTATGAAGCTTTAGTAATTGAAACAACATAGTATTGGCATAAAAGCAAATACATAGATCATTTAAGGAAACCTACACTACCAGAATGCAGTAGACACCATTGACTTAAGTGTTATGAATACGCTTTGGTGAAAGGACCATCTTTTCAGTAAATGGTGCTGAGAGTTGGATATCTGTATGCAGAAGTATAAACTAGATTCCTATCCTATGATACACAAAATTGAACCAAAGGTGGAGTAAGTCGTAAGTATAATAAACAGAACTGCTAGAAGAAAACACTGAGGAGAGATTTCAGGGTGCTGGAAAGGGGGAGTTGATTAAAATTAATCCAGTTTAATGCCACAGAAAATAAAAGCAGAAACAGACAAATGGAATTTCTTCAAGCTAACAAACTCCTGCATAGCGAAGGAAGAAATAAATGTTTAAATAACAACGCAAACTATAGATGGGAAAAAATACTTGCAAGTTACATATCCAAAAATGGGTTGATACATGGAACATATCAAGAACTCAATTAATAGAAAAAAATGATAATCCAATGATAAATGAGCGATCATGGCTGTGTCTGTGGCGTAGCTGGTTAAGTTACTGCCTACATACCTTTGACATACCCAGATGGGTGCTAGTTTGTGTCCCAGCTACTCTGTGAGCTGCGTCTGATGGCCTGGGAAAAGCAGCAGAAGATGGGCCACATATTTGGGCCCCTGCCACCCATGTGGGAGACCTATGTGAAGCTCTTTGCTCTTGGCTTTGGCTGACTCCAGCCCTGGCAGTTGGAGTTATCTGGGGAATAACCCTAGCAGATGGACGACTGTCTGTGTTCTGTTTGTGTGTGTGTGTGTGTGTGTATCTGTGTCTCCCTCTCTCTGTAACCCTAACTTTCACAATAATAATCTATGGAGGCTCCTCAAGATATTAAAAATATTACAAACAGAACTACCCTATGGGTGAGCAGCCCAGCACGGGCTGCCTGGCCAGGAGAAATGAAATCAGTCCGTCACAGATATCTGCACTCCTGTGTTTACTGCAGCACTACTCACAAACACCAAGAAATGAAGACTGTGCAAGCATGAAGCAGGTAGGATGGGCATACTAATACAGTGAATGCTATTCAGTCATACAAAGGGTAACAGCTGCCGTTTGCAATAATATGGGTGGAACCGCAAGTCATTTTCAAGTGAATTAAGTCGAGTGTCGTACAATCTCGCTCATGTGGAATATAAAAAAGGTAGTGGAAGTTGAGAGAAGAGTGGGCCACCACAGGCTGAGGAGAGTTGCCTCTAAACCATGTATAGAGAAGCCAGTCCTGGTGTTTCAGTGCCTTAAGGGTGACTGCAGGTGGTGACACATGGTGCATTTGTCTTAAGGCCCCAGAAACAGAGTTGAATGTTTTCAATATCAAGAAACGAAAAAAGATAGGATTACATTGACTTGAATACTACGCAGTACATACATGTATTGAGAAACATCACCTGCCACCCCGTAAATGTGCAGATTTGTGTATCTGTTTAAAAAAATACAAATTTAAATTTAAAAAGATGCCACATGGCTTGCTTACCAAAGTCTATGAGGTTAATAAACTGTTGGAGCTAGAATCTATATTCAGATTTTTTGCAAAGTTGGGAAGTGACTACAAGATGCTACTGCTACTGCCTGAATGCAAGGTGCTCTGAGTGTGACAGTTCCCCCAGAGTTCTTCCCTGAGAGGATGTTCCTATGATTTGGATTAAAAGGTAAGTTTATTGTGCAGCAAACAGTTTTGGAATCCATGTTTATACACACATACATATGTGATATATGATATGATATGATATGTATTATATATATGATGCTGAGATGCATTAACTTAAACTGTTTGAAGACCCCTTCATACAGCAAGTCTTTGGAAGAAGGAGTGGTTGTTTTGTGCTGATGATTTTGCTGCTTTTTTCTGCAGAGTTCAGGGCTGATGTTAACTTTTTGGTTACCTAGCCAGCTGGAATGTACAAACCTACATGCAGCATTTGGTTAGTCAATGCAAAAGCCTATAGAGCCCTCTACCACTTGACTTACCTGGTATTTCCCAAGGAAATGATTCCTTACCACTGTACACCACCAGGGGGCACACAAGGACTGCCACATAAGCCGAATAACCCACTGCCATGTGCAACAGTAGAAAAATTATCAACATCAAGCAAACTCAGAAAGCAATGTCAAATGAGAAGTCTTCATTTAAACTCTGATTCTAACATGTTTAGATGATGGACGTGGCAATTTCATCTCTCTGGAACTAGTTACCTGAAGTAAGGAGTTAGACGAGAGCAATGATTCAGGCTTAGAAACATTGGAACTGCCACATGGAAATGTCTGTACAGACACATGTGCACACACACATACACACACACACTCCCCAGAGCCCACTTCCACATGGAGTAACTCTATCACCATGGCTTAGTCAAATGAATATTTTCAACACTTTCCAGGCAGTTCTGATGTTCAGCCAGGGTGGAGGACCACTGGTCTACATAGTATCAGGATTCCTTCCAGGTCTCACCTAATGTGATTGACAATTGTTGCCTATGTTATTTAGTTTTTTACTCCCAAGGACAGAATGGAGAAGGAGAACATGGCAGCTTTCTGGGCAGCACTGGATTTGACTCCCACAAGCTCTGCCTCAATGCTGAGTGATCTTGGATCTTGAAAGGAGACTAACAATGGCAACACTGTCAAACTGTTGTTAATGGTTTCAAATGTCAAATCTAAAGTATCTGGCTTTAAGGAAGAGTGACTGGGTTGTTTCTTATGGGGTAACAGGCACAGCCACTGCCTGCGACCTGGGCATCCTATATGGGTACCAAGTTTGTGCCTTGGTTCAGGTTCTATTTGCTGTGCCTCCAATCCTTCTCTCTGCTACAGGCATTGGAAAAGCAATGGATGATAGCCAAGTGCGTGGGCCACCTGTGTAGGAGACCAGGATGAAGCTCCTGGCTCCCAGCATTGGCCTAGGTCAGCTCTGGCCACTGCATTCATTTGGAGGAGTGAGACAGATGGATGATTTTTCTCTCTCTCTTTTTAAAAATTCTGACTTTTAAATAAAACAAATCTTAAAAAGAATGACAATTTAGTCAATAGATATTCATGGGTACGCAGTATTTGCAAGATACTCTGCTAGATTCTGAATTCTACATTTCTAGATAAGAAGTTTCATATGTGTTTTAAGCATTTATTTATTTGAAAGGCAGAATAGAGGAGGAGAGAGGAGAGGAAGAAGGGAGATCTTTCATCTATTGATTTGCTCCCTAAATGGCCACAACAGCCAAGGCAAGGCAAGGCCAAAGCCACGAGCCAAGAACTTCATCTTGGTTTCCAGCATCAGCGGCAGGGACTCGAGCACTTAGGCCATTCTCCCTTCCCAGGTGCATTAGCAGGAAGCTGCATTAGAAGCAGAGCAATCATGGCTTGAACTGGCATATCCCTTCGGTAGGATGCCAGCTTCTGCAATGAAATAAATGTTTGGCTCTAACATTTTTGTGGATATTACCA